TCGAGCAATGGACAGACGGGTGATTAAAATTTCACAAATTCCTACGAATCGACCCGATACGTTGAATTAAAAGTCAGTCGCTCGCGACTCGTTCCCATGAATTCTAACAGGATACTTTTCACCTAATGGATCGTAATGGCCGGAGTAACAGTACCATATTATTCTCGCGAACAACGCGGCGGAACAATAGTCGCGAAGGTGCTTACGAGATGAGCGCGGAGAAACCACTTTCCAGCGTGCGTACGGGCAAGATGGTTAGCAGAGGAAACGCCGCGGTAATTAAAAGCTCGTTAATGACCTTTCTGCCGGGATTCCTCGGATCCCTTCGGCGGCATCAAAGGATACCACAATGGCCTAGGAAGTTCATGAGTCAGTGGCGACGTCTTCATACGATTCTCCAGACCCCGTGACTCGTCGATTACCATTTTGCGTATTTTCAGGATCATTATTGTGAGAACATGTGCGACACGCGTTGCTTCGAAGACCATTAGCCGAGAAAAGATGACGAACGCCTGATAATCGGAATAAAATCCAGAACGACGCATCTTGCAACTTTGGATTTCGTGATTTATAGATCGTTGTGATTCCAAAATTCTTATAACCCCCGGAAAAATAGATACTACGTCGGAAGTCTAATATTGCATATGTACAGAGTGATTCTACAACGAAAGAATAACGTTTATTCGCCGAGGAGTACGAGGGCTTGGACATCAGCACAAATAGAAGAAGTGATTAATGGTCAGACGCGCCAGCCACGTCGCATTCAATCGCGCGCGTATCCGAGAAATTTTCAAATTCAATTATCTCGGAAACGAAAGAATCCCACTCGTTCTTCTCGATTTATTTTTACGTGGAACATCCAACACCGCGACCCGAAGTCAAAGCAGTTGTCTCTACCGCCAGAAAAGTCGAATGCCCGGCGCTTTCCAATTATCAGAATTCCTGGAGGAGGAGGATCCCACGATAACCGTTCGGGGTGGGGAGCAACCGGTAGCGGGATCGTTAGCTGAAATCGGTGACGAACCCGATGGACCCTTAACCCTACGTTTCACGTTCCACGGAAATTGATACTACGCGTCCGAAGCGCCGGACAGATAAGATCGAGCTGGCCGCGAGCGAGAAGCTAAACTAATGCCTCGTGCACAGTGGCGCGCGAGATAGATATCTTGAGAATTTCATTAGCATGATCCGGGAGGCTCGGCTCGCGCCGCCACCTCTTTCCCTCCCCTCTTTAACTTGTCACCTGGGGCTACCTCGCGTGTTCCTTCGCGCCACGGACCAGCCTTTCTGTCACTTAAGCCGGGCCCCTCCTCCCTCCCTGGACCCTGGACGATCATTTCTTTTCCAAAGGCCCCACCGACTCGATTAGTCGCTCGCTCTTAGATTCCTAATTATTTCACTCTACCCCCCCGGGAAACGTTGTTCGCCCTCCCTTATTCAAATTTACACGCCACGCAAACTTAATCGCTAATCTCGACACTGATAGTTGTACACCGACGCGTTTACACTCGATCAAAAATTGTCCAAATTCAAACGATTGTATAGAGATTAATAAATTTTATTCGTGGCTCGTTCAAGCAAAGAGTTTAGAGAACAAAGCCTCCTCTTTGCAACGACCTCTCGAAAATTGACGTACGATTTTTTCTGGACGAATTATCGCTAGATCCGAATCCTCATCTTCCAGAAAATTTAACTAGTATTTAGAAATGTAACGTAAGAAACTAGGTCCATTAGGCTACCAAAAAAGGTCCGCGAAGGAGGGAGGTTAAGAACCACCGATCTATTCCGTGTTCTCTTTGACCTGAACTCTATTAGTACGCCTTCGGAGTTGAAACGAGTCGTATCAGTCACTTGGGAAGAATTACCCCATATAACAAAAGAGACAGTGTAAATTATAACACCGAGCTCGTTGGAGAGTGGTTACTTAACCAGCCATTCAGCGCGTAAAATCGAAAGCGGTCGGGTGAAACGTCTTCATTTTTCACGGCCGCTAGAGTCCCGAGGTCGCGGCGTTTTCCTTCGGGCTAGCCCGCCTCGTTACCCGCGCAAAAGAAGAATAAAATTCCTCGACGTATTCGATCAGCCGCGAACAAATTACTGTATAATTTTCCCGCCGGCGCGATTACTCACGTTAATGGTGCAATAATTCATAGGGACGCGTTTGCGCCCCGGACCACGCGTAATGTCTTCGGGAGATCCGTCCACCGGGGGGGGAAGACGAAACGCCGGTTGAGAGATTCTTGCGGATGGTCCGGGCGTCGAGTAACGAGTGAAAATACAAACCGTACCCGTGGGAGAAGGAAACACTCTGCTTCAAAATAAAAACGTTATTAAAGAGGTGTTACCACTTCTGAACATAATGTACGCGATGCAAAATAAATTCCTCTACTATTGGAATAATCGAAAACGGTTTACAAAAAATAGCGTACGATCTAATGATAAATTTAGGATTTTATCTTTGCATCGTGCTCGTAGGAGGTATTGTAAGGTTTACAAGTGAAAAACTCTGAGAGGAATGCGGGACGAAACGCTGGGGACGCCTTCGTGACGCCTGCGAGCGAGCGTGGCGAAGAGAAAACGTCATATATCGGTGAACGCGTGTTGTTTCGCGGACGTTTGCTCATTTTTAATGCACAACTACTAAATCAGGCGGTGCACAGACATCGCCATAGGGAGCCATCGTTCGGCTGTGTTTACATTAACGCTGTAACCCGACTCAGGAACCGACGCCAGCCAACGTTCTCCCGCCCCCTCTTGGTCCCCCCGTGAACATAATAATATCTGCCGTTTAATTGAAAATACGTGGGAAAAGAAAAAAAAATGTTAGAGGATATGTTTAATGCTATCGCGTGACACGCCCAAGCACGAAGGAGTGCATACGCGACTGTATATTCATGAAATCTCGCTTCGCATTCGTTCCGCTCTTATCGCCTAGACGCCGCGGCGCATTTAACGCGTTAAGCGTCCCGGGATTCTTTCCGCTTCGCCCGCATCTCCCTCGCGAATTTATGAAACGACGAACGCGTTAGTAACGTCTCGAAATGGAATACTTCCGCCCGTCGAGAAAAATCCTTCTACGGGGTGATTCTAGAAACCAGAACCTAACCCAGGCCTAACTCAAACCAAGACACACTCTAGAAAAGGTTGAATCTTTTTGGAAACCATCTTTCGACGATGCAATTATCTTTTTTTATTTTTACGCAAGGGATTAACCCTTTGCACTCGGAGATTTTTCTTCGACCACCTACTACTAACTCAACGCACACTTTCTTACGAAATATACAGTAAATATCCAAGTAAACACATTTCTTTTTATATAATCACTTTAAAACAATTTATATTGTTGTGTTTCCTTGGAGTGTACATTCAAATTCTTTGCTGGATGACCCTTCAGAGGAGACAGCCGAGTGCAAAGGGTTAATTTTGAAATTAACAACGTCCCAGTCTCTGGTGTCACCCAGTATATACCGCTTCCGTGACCGTGCATGGTCTCGTGGTAGCCTATCGCGGTAAATCTCCCTCTCTTTCTACAAAGTGGATTATTAATTCGTTTCATAGGCGTTCAATTAACCCAGAGTCGAGTCGTGGAAATGAATTATTCGTCTGCGCGTCGGTCGTGCCCCGGTGCTTTACCGCGCCGCGGAAATTTACGGATGTCGCCTCGCATAAATAGCGGAGGCCCTGGCCACCGTGAAATTTACGAATGATCGCCGACCGCCTCGTAAAATTTCCGGCCAGCCTGCCACCCGTGTCCACCTCTCCCTCGGCGTCTTGCTCTTCCATTTTCATTGGAAACAATCAACTCCGGAAGTAGGGGGCCTCTGTGGTACAAGGGTATCCCCATCGTAGATTCAGCAGGGAATGGTTTTACATAAGAGTAATTTTTTTCCACCTTATTATATGAATACATCTTAATGTTATCAAAGTCAAGATATCCATCAAGTTATCCAAAAAAAAGGTGGACAGTCCATCAGCACCTGAAATAGAAAACTTTGTTAGTTTAACGTGTATTTGTGAGAGGATAGGAAAAGATGAACTTAAAAAGCTTTATATAAGAGTTATTTTTTGCTATCTATTTTATTATATGAATATCATTCATTAACGTTATTGTATTGAACTATGAGCTTCAACCTGGAGCTTTAAAGTCAAGTTATTCATGGCAAGACGAAGTTGGACAGTCCACCAGCACCTGAAATAGAAAACTTTGTTAGATTAACGTGTATTTGTGAGACGATAAGAAAAGATGGACTTAACAAACTTTATATAAGAGTAATTTTTTGCTATCTATCTTATTATATGAATACCATTCATCAATGTTATCACATTAAACTATGAGCTTCAACCTGGAGCTTCAGAATCAAGTTATCAATGACAAAAAGAAGTTGGATAGTCCACCAGCACCTGAAATAGAAAACTTTGTTAGTTTAACGTGTATTTATGAGATGATAGGGAAAGATGAACTTAAAAAACTTTATATAAGAGCTTTATATAAACTATGAGCTTCAACCTGGAACTTCAGAGTCAAGTTATCAATGGCAAAAAGACGTTGGACAGTCCACCAGTGTATTTGTGAGACGATAGGAAAAGATGAACTTAAAAAACTTCATATAAGAGCTTTATATAAACTATGAGCTTCAACCTGGAGCTTCAGAGTCAAGTTATCAATGGCAAAAAGAAGTTGGACAGTCCTCCAGTGTATTTGTGAGACAATAGGAAAAGATGAACTTAAAAAACTTTATATAAGAGTAATTTCTTGCTATCTATCTTATTATATGAATACCATTCATCAATGTTATCACATTAAACTATGAGCTTCAACCTGGAGCTTCAGAGTCAAGTTATCCATGGCTAAAAGAAGTTGTACAGTCCATCAGCACCTGGAATAGAAAACTTTGTCAGTTTAATGTGTATTTGTAAGACAATAGGAAAGGATGAACTTAAAAAACTTTGTTCAAGACTTCAGAAATAGTAATTAAAGGTTTCTTATTTCTGGTTTGCAGGAACATGGCTGTTCGGTGCAGACGGTGGACCTGGTGGCGGACTGTCCGTTGCAGGTGGTGACACCGTCCTCGAGGTCGCCGTCACCGCCCAGAACCGCGACGCCCCCGACGCCCCTCGCACCGCCGAGGAGCATGGGGCAACGTCCAAGCACCCTCTTGCGCCCCAAGATCTCTTTGACCTGGGTCCTACGCGGGCAGCAACAAGCTGCCTCCAATAACCATCATTCGGCTGCTACTGGGAACACAGGTCCGACTAAAACCGAGTAAAATAACAATCTTGATACACCATGAAGTATATTTGCATTGCAATTCGAATGTAAGAACACCGGTGTTCCCTTTGCAAAGGCACGAACGGCGATCGAGAAAGCTTGTCGCGAGACAGCAAGGAAAGGTCTTCGAGGAGGAGCGTGAAAAGCGTGAAGGAGAAGGATGGCCGCAAGGAGAACCTCGACACTGAGAAACGTGAAAAGAAGATGCTGCACAGAATCGAGAAAATCGAGAGGACGGAGAAGCTGGAAGTTCAAGAAAAGGTTCGTTTTACAAACTAAAATATGAAGATATTTATATTTATACTTAACTGTTATTTCTTGCAGGGTATCAACAAAGAGGTACTCGTCAACGAAAGGCCGCTGGACAGTCCCCTGGATAAACACTCTGAGAAGGAATTTTCGGGGCTGAAGGATACCAAGGAGAAGGATAAAGTTAAAAGGGCCGTGTCCGAACCATCTCTCGTGTCTCGCGAGTCGACGTCCACGCCGAGTGGTCGGGAGAAACACAGACACAGAAGAACCAAACGGTCCCACAAGCCCAGACCCCCCAGCAGATTTGGCTACGAAATCGCCGACCTCGACGCGTTTCTCACGAAGGTACTCGAAGCGTTTGTCAAACTGTCGGGAAATATTGTTGAAATATGGAAAACTTTCAGGCCTCCATCGAGAAGCCAGCAAACATCCCAGTGGTCCTATCCTTTCCATCGGTTTTGTACCAGACTCAGGGAGGAACTCAGGACGAGATGGCTCTTCCGCTTGGGACAGTCGTGAACGCAGTCTTCAAGAACCAAAGCTGGTTGTACGTTCAGACTCCACACGGCCAAGAAGGATATGTCGGGTACGCAGCGTGTCTACCGTTAGGAATATTGCCTCAACCAACGAGAGGTCCTTGCTGGGAGGATTCCACGGACGTGTTTCCTCGTCCCCTAGGTAGAAATAGTTTTATAAATACTCGGGTCGAGAAGATCTTGATTGCAAGAGTAGCTCCACTGATTAAAGTTCTTCTTCCAGGGAATATGACGGACACGGAGAAGCTGAGGGATACTCGATCGGAGTGTGGAGCGCGTGGCAGAAACACGAGGGTAAGGCGAGGTTCCAGAGACGCGGTTTCCGCCTGCGGTGAACGCAGCGTGGACAGGCTGTATCTCAGGGCTGCAGCGAATGCTAGAACCAAAGGATCGCGTCACACCTTGCTCGTCATACGCAGTGATTACGAGGCTCGAGGCGGGAACGCCCTGAGCGTCTCCAAAGGTGACGTTGTCGCTCTCCTCAGCGATCACGTCAGTGATTGGTTCTGGGTTCGTTCGCGGGACGGCAGAGAGGGCTTCATACCTGCCGTGATCGCGGGTCACGGTTTCCTATGACGGTTACGTCACCTATTGTACACCGCTATATCTTACAGACTCTCGCGAGTAAGCGTTTCCGCTAGAAACGGAGATTGTCGTTGCGCGTAATCGACGAACAACATGTATATTTTGTAAAAAGTTTTTATGTCATGTTTTATAAAATGCACATTGTATTAATATATTTATTAAAGAATATATGTAACGAGTCCGTTCTATTCCGTAAGATCATTCGTTTGACACTTTGGTTGTTCGCGCTACGCAAACTTTAACATTAATTCGCGGTAATTGAAGTTCGTACACACGTCGAGATTGTTCGAGGAACCGGCTACACTGAGCACCTTTTGCGGAGTCACTTGATAAACAATACTGTACACTGTGTTACTGGATGTGGGCACTTTGGCCAACGTTTCTCCTTGATACGTCAAATGATAGACGTGGGGAGCTGTTCCGGCGGCTATCACGCGTTCCTCGAAAATATTTGCAACGTGGATCCCCTCGTCGGGAAGATCGAACACGGTAGCTGCTTCCATCGTGCGCATGTGCCATAAGGACAAACTTGGACCACCGCCGCATAACTAAAAAAATTATCGTATCGCTAAATTATTATTGTTCTTTATTAAATATTGACGTCTGATTAGCTATGATTCGAAAATGCCACCAGCTATAAAGGTAAGTAACTACATATTGTTGGGGCACGAAAGAAGGTGCTCGAAAACCAGATCAAATGAAAAGCAATATAGTATACGCACCAACCAATCGTCCGTGAAATCTATAGCACCGATCCATTTTCCTAGCCATGGTCGTGCAACCTTGTCTATTAAATGAGGCGTTAATATATTGGTATTTTCTTTCTTTCGTAAATCCCATAACCTTACTGTTCCATCTTCGCTGCAAGAAGCTAGCTGGTTGCCCCTGAAAAGCACGGTGACATTTGTTACGCAAAACTTATTAAAATATTCGGTAATTGTTACATGATACATACATTAGGGAGAGCCCATGAATATAATCCGTATGTCCTTGCAAATGTCTGAGAATTTTACCATCTTCTAGACTAATTACATAAATGTTATTATCGCCACAGCCAGCATACAAAACATGACTTGATTTAGAATATATCAGATAATTTATATCTGGCTTTTCATAGTTGTCCCTAGAAATTGAGCGATGTTAATACTGTCTGTGTTAATATTATCTGTTTACAATCGTAGTAAGTATATAGCCATACTTGTTAACTGGGATTTGTACGGTCCAAGAAGCTTTATTCTTTTGAGCTTTGCTGGAGGTAACTGTTTTCCAAGACCATCCAGATATTTCACCAGACGTTCCTGTTATTAGAAAACTATCCGTGGATGCCATACTCTCCACCTGCTGATTCTGGTGGGCAGTGAAATGATAATTGGGGCCTTGTAACTCATTCTCTTCCACTTTGTGCGGCCCTAAAGCCTTTGATAATCTATAGAAATAAACGAAATATATTGTAGATCCTTTATTAATGCGTTATTATAACTGTTTTCAACCTCTACTCGATACTAATTACATAAGACTGATTTTGTTTAATTATACAATCCACCTTTACAGCTTGTTTACTATCATGAACGAAATGTTTTTACTTACTCAAAAACTGAGACATCCCCATAAATATTTCCAGCCACTAAATAATTTCCATCCGGGGAGAATGTCTGCGATAACACAGTGTTGTAAAATAACTTTTGATTATATATATCAGGCATCATTTGTTAAACAATTCTTTCCGTGGCGTATCATAAATTGAGGTTAGAGTATTGTACTAGACCGGGAACTGCGTTCACTCGAGTATCGTAAACAAGTATGCGAGCTTGTAGAATTCGAAGTATCGAGAAAGACTAACACTCGTCCTTTTCTTTGAGATAGAGAAATCTGAGCCTTGCCTCTTGGCTCTAGATACAAATTAAACCTCTTCGAATCTCGACTGTACAGACGTTTTTATGTTTATATTAATAAAACATCAAAATTACAGTATATAAATATTTTCTATGCTTCTTATTTACCCCCCTACCTCTTCCCAATTAATTCCCCAATTTTTATAAATTTTAAAGTCTTATAATCCTTTGTACCTGCTTCAAATATTACTCGAATCTAATTAATATCTAATTAAGTTCTTCAACCAGTTCTCTATACATTTTTTCATGTAATTAATAAGTTATAAATGATTACTGAAAGCGATAACGATTTTATTTATTGCATTAAAAATTAAGGGGACAGAATTCAGGGATTGTTTATTGCTGCTGAAGGTGTGGGTGTTCAAGACTACCTACACATACAAGACAATCTACACACGCAATCATATTACGCTATATCATACGCAATCCGGCAAAAACGTGCAGTAAAACAGTATCGCCATCTAATATCAGGGATTCGTACTGCAAAAATCGTCCCAGGATCACAGAATGTTAGTGGAGGTATCCGGAGCACAGGTTCCCCCACCCCTGCTACTCCTGATACGCAGTACCTTGATTAATCATTAATAACTCCTTTTCTGGGATTAAAATATGAACTTTTAGAATTTAAGAATATAGTATAGACCCTTGACTACATTCAAGGATGCTTTTTAGAACCATTCCGCCAGTAATTAACAAGATATTAACGAATATCGGAAGTCGGAACATGTACGGCTGTATCACTGTCTGCTTTAATCGATTAATTATCCATTTTTCAACAATAGCAGACATATTTTGGCTATTAGAGAACAAAGGAGACATCCCTGGTAACACTCAAGGACCGATTTTGTAAGGCTCCATGCTCTAATTAATTAGTTATTAGCGATTGATCCCCAAGATGTCGTGTTAAAAGGTTAGGAAGAGTGTGCCGACTTCCGATATTCGTTAATAACTATTTAATAACTCATGGCGTGGTTATAAAAAGTATCCTTGACTCTTGCCAAGGGTTCATACTATATTCTTAAACTCTAAAAGTTCACAATTTATTCCCAGGAAAGGCGTAATTAGTAAATTAAGGAGCAGTAATTCATTAAATACGAAGAAATACATAGTACACCATTTCCGCCACTAGTTGGCGCCACATGTCAAAAATCAATAATTCAACGGTTTTAATGAACTAGTGCTCCTTAATTTACTAATTACGCCTTTCCTGGGAATAAATTGTGAACTTTTAGAGTTTAAGAATATAGTATAAACCCTTGGCAAGATTCAGGGATACTTTTTATAACCATGCCATGCCTCATAAAACAGTTATTAACGATTATCGGAAGTCGGCACACTGTTTCTAACCTTTTAACGCGACACCTTAGGGAACAATCGCTAATAACTGATTAATTAGAGCATGGAGCCTTGCAAAATTGGTCCTTGAATGTTGCCAGGGATGTCTACTTTGTCCTGTAATAGCCAAAATATGTCTGTTATTGTTGAAAAATGGATAATTAATCGATTAAAGCAGGCAGTGATACAGCCGTAGATGTTCCGACTTCCGATATTCGTTAATAACTTGTTAATTACTGGCGGAATGGTTCTAAAAAGTATCCTTGAATGTAGCCAAGGGTCTACAGTATTTTCTCTATATAAGCTCGGAACTCGTCCACGATATAGGCAAATATCATATCCCCTCTACTTATCCCCACTGCGTACCGTTAGAACTAAGCACTCGCTGTATCGGCGAGTATGCCTTCCTATGGGCGGTTCCCCAAGATAGCGGCGCGTTTGACAGTCGGTCGTCGAACATTGTCATACGATACGGGCTCAAATTACTAAGGCAACACTAGTGCAATAATACAAATTTTTTATTTTTCCTTTTCTTGTTTTGAAACTTTTAACATGTCTGTGACAGTTTTCTGATTTAACTAAGATCAAGTACAACATAATTTTTATTATTGTTTTTCATAAATTATAATATACATTTGACCTTTCTTTAAAGTGTATCCTCATCTGAAAAAAGGAATTGTAATTTAATTGACCTATCATTTATTTGCCGAAATCGTGAGACAACTCAGAGTAAAATAAGTTGGTTAAACAGTTTAAATTCGCAAGTTATGTATATCTTTTCGGGTTATATCACTATTGCAGTAAACGATCGATACATACATATATGTACTGAAGTTATGACACGATTTAACTAGTACATATACAATATTAAATCAACAACGAAATTCATCTTTATTTTTGTTCTTCCTTTTTTCAAACTTCATCAACATATTCGTGACACTTTTCTGATTAAAATGACACCAAATACGATATACAATTTAGGTCCTATTTACTAACGCAATAAGAAATCAAAGGCATGCATCGGCTCAAGTGACTCCACGTCGGCTGTATCGAAACACAGGCGATGTTTACGCGAGCCTATACAGAATCAGTATTTCATTCTGCGACCTCTACCAAGAGAGGTAGAAGTCAGAATTAGAACACCGATTTCGTATAGGCTCGCATAAACATCGCCTGTGTTTCGTTACAGCCGACCCGAAGCGAAGGAAGCGATAGCAAATTCGGCGATGCTCGGCCGCTCAGTCCCTCTTTGTCATATGCTCGCTGTTCTTTTCTATACTCGCCGCCTCCAGTAGGCGTCAACAAAGTATCAAGAATCGTTTCTCGTCCACGATATAGCCGAGCGTTGAGCCCCGAGAGCGTCGCTTCTATAGAGACAATACTGTATACTACATTCTTCAATTCTAAAAGTTCATATTTTAATCCCAGAAAAGGAGTTATTAATGAATAATCAAGGTACTGCGTATCAGGAGTAGCAGGGGTGGGGGAACCTGTACTCCGGATACCTCCACTAACATTCTGTGATCCTGGGACGATTTTTTGACTTCGAAACCCTGATATTAGATGGCGACACTGTTTTACGGCACTTTTTAGCGCTATATTGGAATAAGGATCGCTTCCAGTATTCGTTTATAACGTATTATTAATTAAATTAATTAATGTATAGAGAAATGGTTGTTGAACTTAATTCGAATAATATTTAGAGCAGTTTTAAGGGATTATAAAACTTTAGAATTTATACAAATTAAGGAATTAATGGGAAAGGTAGAGGACAGTTTAAATAAAAAAGAAGGAAAATGTGTACTATGATTTTTTATTAATTTTCGGAATTTTTATAAGCTGAGTGACACTGTGCATATTGAGTAAGACTTGGTGTGGTCCAGATAAGCATAATTAACAGCCATTTCCATTGCGAAACATTCAGGAGAAAGAACAGACATGCTTTACAGCATACATATTGATCATGTATTAATTAATTATCGAAGAAAAAGAAATTTATTTTACTATTCCTACAATGAAACATGCCGTTCAAAGCATTTTAAATTTTCTGAAAATACATTTGTATTTTTTATATAAAATTTATTTATGACATTTCTTTATAAGCATAGTGCTATATACATATTACATATATAACTTCTGTTTATTACAATAATATACAGAAATATATATTGCAGTATAATTTTATTTCTTTTACATATAATATAATAAAATCTTGTTCGATCTAAAATTACGAAACTACACAATATCAAATATTTTAAAAATTTTACATCTAAGATATATATTACAGAAAATGGATATTAACAAGATTTCATTATTTATTTCTATTAATATTTTGTTAAACTTATGCGTAGGAAATCAAGACAACAGACCTGTGAAGTTGGGAAGCTCCCTTTACTATTATATCTTTGACATACATTAGTTAATTTCTTTTTTTTTTTTAAATATGGTACAATCAATAATTATAAATCATAAAAAAATGTGATTTAAAAATCCTCCTCTATTTATGGTTGTAACTATTTATACACCTCTCGACCTCCGTTACAAAATATCGAAAATTACATCCTTGAATTATCATTCTAATTTTTTACATCTAATCTTGCTTCAAATCGATATTAATCTCTATTATATTGAGTAGTATACACTAGAAACATTTCCACGTATCTTTATTTGATAAAAGAACTGAAATGTTTATTAACAAAAGTAGAAAAGGGTTGAAATTACACTAAACAAAATATAAAAAGAACATTTCAATCAGAGAAGTAAAGATTTCTAAATCAATTGTTTTCCTACCTTATGTGTTCCGTACAATTTCGATACAATAAATTAATTACATCTCTAGTTGTAACTTTGTTCCTAATATGTTTCTTAACATTTCAGTCACTCGGGGAAATGCGAAACGACGCTTATAAAACTAAAACTTTTCCAGGACCTCCGGATGAAGACATTTTATAATGCAATTTAATAATCATCAAATAATATTTTTGCAAGAGGTCCTAATTGTATAGATAGGTAGTAGTTTTTTTTTTTTAAATTCATATTTATAATATATTACAATATATCTACTGTGAATCATTCTTAAAATTCGAGCTACTTTAAAGTTCAGATTCCACTGACTTTCATGATCCAAGTTACGTTCGAGCCGAATTTTAAGCCTAAATAAAATTATTATACAACCGATCGTTTCATTATTCCGTGCTATCGTTAGTCGCTCCTTTGATAAGACTCAACTTCTGTCTTCTCGCGAGATCAAAACGTACGAAAACGGTGGTGTAGCATTCACGCAACGCCCATATGGCGAACTGATTACAAAATGTTTTAAAAATGCAGTATTTTTCTGTATTACATTTGACGAAATAATAGCAACATTTTACAATCTTTATTTGTACATTTTCTTTTTTTCTTTTCTTTTCGTAAAACATATGTAACTGCATTACTCACCTTTACCAATGATCAGGACAATAAATAGGGAATATAAGAAAAATGCACATCGTAATCTTAAAAAAAAGATTCACGCAGTCGAATTAAAAGACATCACACGAATTTCAATAATTTAGAGTTTTCTCCTTCAGGTGGAAAGGTACAGACGATGATAATCGTTAGCTCCAAAAGCACAATTACATTTTGGACACTTTCGTTGCCGCGTTTCGTATCTCGTACGCAAACAATCCCAACAGAATACGTGAAAACACTTTGTTAAAACTGCATCTTTGCGCTTTACTTTGCAGGAAGGGCACGTAAGAGTCTCTTTATATTCTCTCAATTCCTCCGCCATCACTTCGTCCAATGTTTCAGCAAGCTCAATCTTTTTCATCCTTTCGACTTTACGTCTCAATTGAGCTATCTCCTCCTGCAAATAAACGCAATAAAAATAATTTATATTTTTATCACATCACGGATTAGAAGAATAGGATCGACTATCTTTTTTTAAACTCACCTGTAGTCTTTTTGTTTTATACGCTTCTGCTTCTAAGGAACTGGTTTTTTCAGCCACAACTTGTTGCGCCTCTTTCATCTGAGAATGATATTTTTCTAAAAAGAAAAAAAAGAAAAGAAAATATAATACGTATACGTTAAACTAAATTAAGTATTTATAAATGAGTCCCTTACCAAGATGAAGTTTTAAATCAGCTGCGGATTGAGCGCTTTCGATAGCTTTCCGTTTATGCATCTCCATCGCTTGCTGCCTCAAGGCCAATTCTTTCTCGACAGTAGCAAGGGAGTTCTGCAAAAGGCGCTCTTTTTCTTCTAATTTCCGAACAACCACATTAGCAGCTTCGACTTGCGTTGTTAATGTAGACACTTGCTCCTTTAAAACATCTTTCTCTTCTCTTGCCAATTTGTGCAGCTGATTGCTCTTAATTCTCTCTGTCATGAGTTTGAAGTTCGCGTCATCTTTTTCGCGTAGCTGTTGTATCAATCTGGAGTTCTGCTCCTGCATGTCCTCAAACGCTTGCCCAGTTACTTCCATTTCGTTTAAAAGAGCCTCTTCTTCCTGCAGCCACACACAACTCTGTTCAGCATTATTCTCAGTTCATGGTTTTAAGCAAGATTTGTAATTCAAACAGTTTCTCCAATTGGCGAATATACTGTTTCTTATGTTAGCTGATTGCGAATCGTCGATACGGGAACTTACCTGTTTCTGTGAAGCAACTTGGCGCTGTAGCGTGTACGCTTGCTCCTCTAGCTTTTTAATTTTTATCTGTGCATCCTCGTCCGCTAACTTTTTTCGCTCTTCGCGTTTACTTTCCTAAAGACACATTGAACATTTTTTATGTCAGAAAATAATAAAGAAAATTGTAAAGCAAGGCGTTACGGAACAAACACGTACTTGGATTTTCTTTATTTGTTGGCGTAATTCCTCTAATTCCGCTCTTGTTTTTCGTTCAGCAGCCATCAGTTGCACTTTATCTCTTTGCTCTTTTCCAACACCTTTGTACATGTCTAACAGTAGCTTCATTTCTTTCATTTCGTTCACAGCCTTTCTGTAATTATAACGAAACAGAACGATAAATGAATACGAAACGTGCAAGAACAAAAATTTCTCACAAAAAATACAATACGTGAACGTACTTCAGTTGTGCTTTCAGATCTCTGACAAGTTCTGATTCCGCAACTTTCGATTCTTTAGCGCGATGGGCGGGATCACGGTGTTCGGTTTTAACAGTTTCTTTCTTAATGTCCTTCTCGCGTTTAATATCTTTTTCTTTCTTTAGAGTTGGAGAAGTTAAAGTCAGAGAGTCTGGAGTACCTTTGTTTCCTTCCCCTTCCCCAACTTCAATAGTTTCAACGTCTTCCTCTCCACATTCTCGTTTTATAGAAACACCGCTTTCTTCTTTAATCTACGTCAGTAGAAACATATAAATCCATTATTCTAGAAACTGTTTTTATAAAATTATTCGAAAGCACAGATTAATTTAAACGGTATATTATTTTATACCTGCGTAGAACCTGGAAGAGAATTAGAAGCGTCTTCCTCCTTTCCACTACCATCTGAGTTATTACCCTCCTTATTTTCCTGAGATGTTTGTTGACCTAATTTAGTTGTTAATTCCTCGATTTCTTTCTTTAGCTATAATAAATCATAGGTGTTGGCTATAAAAATACTTTTATTTTGTTAATTTCAATATTTCCTTTAAATGTTTTAGTAACACATACCCTTGGTATTTCTGAAGAAGCTTCTTTGTATTTCCGTTTGTAACGATGAACTTCGCCTTTAAGTTGCTGATTATGATTTTGAAGGGACGTTATCAAGTGCCTCATTTCTCTATTAATTGGTCCTGTTTGCTCGTTCGCCGCTAAATTTTGTTCAAATTCGATTCTTAACATTTCGTATTCCTTTCGTAATTGCGCTAACACATCTTCCAGTTGTATACATTCCCCGCGCAATTTCTTTTGGGCCATTAACTCTTCGCTCTAAGACGTCAACAATAAGTTTAGATAAATCCTTATAAAATTTGTATCAAAAGAATACACTCACCTCCATCATTTCGATATGTCGTAAATGGGCGTTTTTACTGGATTGTAACTGTTGGCGGGCATCGTCTAATTGAGTTTTCAGTTGCATCGATTCATTGTACAATACAGAAAATTGTGACTGTAAACATTTGTATTCCGTTGTCTCAACAATAACTGATTCCGGAAGTTGCCGTATCTGTAAATACAAAATATATTTGAAAATAAAATTGAATGAAATATTTAATACGATGTTAAGACGGCCATTGACCCAATTTTTACGTGTACTTTGTCTACTTTATTTAAATGTAAAGAAGTGAACACAAGAAACAAGCAAAAGCAAGTTAAACATGAGTATTTATTGCACATGATATCAATTTACATTCTGTACCGTGCATCGTGAAGATTATATGTACAAAAACCAGAGAACTCACATCCATTTTTAATTTTTCTACTTCTTTCAATGCGTCGCGATGTTGTTGATGCAGTTTATCCAATTCTTGCAGTCTGTTATTGGCTAGCTCCCTCGTCTCTTCTAATTCTCTCTGCAAATCTTCGACCTGCGCGCAAGACAAAAATTAAACGTATTAATAATAATTAAGAAACTAATGAGAAAGTTGTGACATACCTTCGTTTGTGAAACACTAGATGCAACTAGGGTATTTGGTTTATTGCTACCCTTTTCATCTGTACCATGTATTTGTTGAAACGCCTTTAGCTTTTCGATAGCTTCTCCAAGATGATGCTCCAATTTATCATTACGCGCGCGCACTTTATTCAATTCGTACTGAAGATCATCCACTTGATTACGAAGTTCTGCAGCAAGAGTATCTTTCCCTGTTATAGTATCTTGCAATTCTGACATCTGCAGAGTAACATATTTGTTGAAAAATACATAATTATAAAAACATAACGTATTACAATAAATAAATCGAAGTTACCTTCAATGAGATGGTATGATATTTCTCATGAAGCTGTATGTTTATTGCTTGAAGATTTCTATTTTCCATTTGTATTTCAGAATTTGCTCTACGTACGACTTCATCGATATTGGGTGCATCTTCTGAAAAATAGTAATACCGTTAACGTGCAATTCAACTTGTTACATTTATGAACACATGAGATTAAATTACCTCCATCAAACTCTCCTTTAAGCGCGAGGGTAATTTTCTCGTTTCTTTGAGAAAGACGATCAAACGCTTGCACAACTTTAGAAACTGCGCGTTTGGATACTTGGACGCGATTTGCCAGTTTATCATCTAATTCCTCTTTATCCCAAGATGAAAGTTGCATGAGAAATGATGTTGTAGCTTCACTTTCATCTGTCAATTAGTAACAAAAATATGTAAACTATATGCACTTATTGGTATAGCAAGTGATTTAACAAGTACTTCTTACTTTTATTTTCTGATTCATCGGCTGTTTCTGCATCAAATCTCTGAAGTAATACACGTATATCTTCATTTAACTGATTCCAATAACGATTAACAACATTGAGCACTGCATCATCCTGCATTTGTCGTTTTTCTAATTGTTCTATTCTTTGCCTTAACTCTGCCTCTATTCTATGACGCTGTTCTAATCGCTAAAAAGATTAACAAAAGAACTAAGTAACCAAGCAAACAAAATAATTTTAAAAAAATACTGAATTCTCTGAGTATTTATCATATTTGGTAGAATTACTAAAAAATAATGTCAAACATTAAGAGAAATTATATATTATTTTTGTTTTAATTTAACTCTTCTATGGTATAATCATCTGTGCTTATAACATACAATGTATGTTTACAATAAGATTTTGATCTGAGTTAATATTAATTAATTATTCTTACATAACAAATTCTTAGTTTTTCAATTGATTAAGAAAGATTTTTTGTGATACATAATTATTAACTTTAAATTGTTAAACGATAACAATTGCAAATGAACTCCTATTATTTATAATTATGAAAAAAATAAACAATAAATATTGCGATGAATGTAAACAAAATGATATGTAGATACCAAAAATGTTGTACATAACTTTCGATTTCCAACATTACTCTATCTTGTGCTAAATAAAAAGCATTACCTGGGCCAACTTTTTATTTTGAAATTGTAGAACTTTCATGTCCATTTCTTCGAGGGTCGATATAGGCCCGATTAAAGTAGGTTCGAATTGAACTTTTTTAATGGGGGGCTGGGATCCCGAATCCCCGCTATCTGCAGGTCGCTTTGACATTTTGTGGTAAGCGTAATCCTTTCTGAAACCAACGAAATGAAAAGAACATGATAAATTGTACTTCGTAAGTGTCCAGAAAATTTTGTTATTGATCAAAAAGAAGTTCGTACCTCGTACCGTGTGTTAATACCTCCAGCGTTCCTCTCCCGCAAATATCTTGGAGTTTCTATATTGCTATGTCATTTTTAAATGCCAAAAACCTGTCGAAAAGAACTCACTTTCGACAGATCTTTACATTTTAATAAAGACGATCGACAAAAAGTACGTGCCCACAGCGGAAGCCGCCATTGTGTCACGGCGTTGCATACGCGGCAAATCAAAAAATAAGGTGAAAACATCGACGTTCACCATGGATGCAGAATCGACATAGATGTGAAACGTAGGTCTCGTTCTCTTGGAATCACTAATGGTGGCGATGCATCTCGTATTCGCCACTAGACGGCTCCAATGGAAACCGATTCTCGCAAGTTTGTCGACAGCGTCAAAACTTTTTAGTAAATTGGAAGTTCATCTATCGCAGATTGGATATCGTAATTCGTTACGATATCGATTGGCGAAACAATATAATTCAATTATATATGGGCATATGGGCACCCTACAAGTTAATATGTATATAGCGCAGAGTTTAGACTTAAATCACTTCTTTTCATTTGTAAAAGATTTCTCGTAACATGAAAATCATTTAAATAATTGCGTTTTTTGGTATGTGATATATCTACACAATATTTGGCGCGTTAATTCATCGTGAACATTTCAAGAGGAAGTGACTTGTAATAGGTTAAATTCGAAATTAATGCTCGCGTTTCCATAGGAACCTATTTCGTGTAAAGTCAACCGCACATATAGATCAAACCTGTAAACCCGGTGGTTCGAAAGAACACTATTTCTCCGCACTGATCAGAGCATTTTTTCAGTTTGAAACAAAATTAAAATGATAAACAATCACGCTCTTGTTTTGGTTCCACCGCCACCTTTGAAATTCACCTTAAACGACTGGCATCTTAATAATCGTTATAGGTACGTATACCGTAGAATAAATTAACACGTTGCTTCGAACTTGCTTCGAACTTACAACTTTCCTTTCACATATATGAAACGAATGTACCCCATTGTTTATAAATTTTTAAACAATGCTGGATCATTTTGGTAGTTTTCTTTTGTTTTATGAGATATATTGATAATAAATCAATATCGATTAAATCAGGTATCGATGTTCCAAAGCACAGCAAGAGTTAGCAGATCGGCTACTAGCCGAAACGCGGCGAGTATGCGAATTGAGCACCGAGGAAGCACGAGGCAACAAGGAAGAGACAGATTACAGACTTAACGAAAAATTGGAGGATATCGAGTTCTGTAAAAAAGAATTATTACGCATAAGGAAAGAAGTACTTCTCGAAAAAGATGCCTTATTAACATATAAAGAACGCATTATGGATGCTTTGTCATCCGTGAGGAGGAATGCTCTAGTTATTTGCGAGAAATGTCTAATACTTAGGTCAGAATTGACTAGTTTCTATTATGTACTTTGACGATCTTAATTTAATTGGAAATTCAGTATTTAATTAGGAATTTAATAACTGACACGAAGGATCGATGCGGTAGATAATATTAATTGTTATTGATATTGCATTATAGAGAGCATAGACTGGGGATCGATCTAGTTCGCGACAATGTCGACAGAGAATTGTTACAAGAATGCGAGGTGATCAAGGGCGCCGAAAATCTATTAACGCGAACTCTTGAACAAACTCAGGAACAAATACGCCGACTAAAATCGACGCTCTATTACATGGATAACGACCTGGAAGCTAAAGAGAACAACTTGCGTATAGACAGACATAATTTGACTCTGAAAGAGACCAGCATGAACTTGAGCATTTACCATGGCACTTCGCGGCTCGATCCTTCGTACGCACCACACTTATTATCATAGTTATAAAAAGAACCGTACGGTTAATAATTATTTTTATGCCTTAAGATCCATAGAACTGAACGAATGGGAAATGCAAACGAACAACAACATCGTTGCAGCATCGAAAGAAGTAAACAGCGCGAGACCGTTGCGTTGTTACATCGACAAGATAATACAACAAGCGATCGACGATTTGAGAGATCAGAAGAATGCCACCGACGAAGCTTTCAGACGACGCATCGAAGAAACGAAAGAAGTCAAAATGAAATTAGAATTACAGCACTCCGAGGTGCGCGATTCTTTGCAGCTCGATTAAAAAAATTACTGTTAATATGAGATGTCTTATTTGCAGATAATGCGACAGGCAAATGAAATGAAAGACAACATCACGCGTATAGAGAAATCAATCGCGGAAAAGGAATGCTATTTAGCTTTGGCGCACACCAGGCTCGGTAATCGTTGCCAACGACCTGGTCTAGAACTCACACGAGATTTGGTGGAGATACAACTGGTCAAAGAGGTATATGAACTACGAGAAGTCGTGTCCAATTTGCAAGCAGCTATGTTCGAGGTTTGCATTATGAAATCATTAATCGATTTATTTTTTCTTTAATGTTATTAATATCTGAATAAATTGTATAGGCACAAGCGTCGTTCCGTTATCTACTGAAAACGCAAATTCAAATCGAAGAAGATATCAATATTAAAATGAATACGCTGAAGATCGACGAGGTTGACTGTATGACTCTTCGTCAGAGCATGAATTACCACGCGTACTAAATTAATTCATATGCCGAATGATATTCAAATTTGAAAGCTATATAATCCTGTCTCTTATGTTATATCTACGTTTATACAAAGCGTTCATAATAAAATATACAAAATATCAAGTACATGATTAGCGTGCATTCCTTACATTATGAAATAAATTACATGTTTGTGTAGAAAAATGGTACTGTAGCGGCCATTGTATAGCCACTACGCCCTTGCCAGAGTATGAATGGGAATGGAATGTAAGGATAGTTTTAAGCTTTCTATTTTTCCATTTTCCCAGGGTCACGTGCGAGGCGTCTGTTTTCCTTCAAGGTTTCGCCTGGGCCTCGGACCACCCCCATCCGGGCCCGGCGAGCCTCTTGACTTTTATTACTCGCTTTCACTGTAGCTAAGCTTTTCCTACGCTATGTATTCTCCAGTTTCGTTTTTCCGTCTTTCTGTCCTATCTCTTTTTCTCTACCTTTGCTATTAGGGTAAGCAAGTGTATTCAAGGGACGTTAAAAGAAAGGCCCCAGTCAGTAAAGACGTCGTCGCGTTTGTAAAGACAGTTCGTTAGCAATATTAACCTACGTGTGGCTGCACCCCCACACCCGCATAAATAAACGATTAAATAATTGTTGGAGTAGATCGTGTGTTTGTCATTTGAACCCCCAGCCCCCTCAGTACAATGAAAAAATTATACAAATATTAGTAATAGGGCAAAATATAATAATAAAATACAAAATACAATCAAACCTCGGTCTCCCGCGTGACAGGCGGGGATACTGACCACTTTTTTTTTTCTTTTTTTTTTTTTAAACATACGTTTATTGTGCCAGAACAATTATAAATATATATACAATGGTACAAAAAAACCTAAACGTACAAATGGTTACATTAAAACAATATATACTTATTCTAATGGCTCAGCGCAGAGCACGCGTAGTCTTAACACTAAAACTATAATTACTGCACTTAATGCTACACCTCCAAACTCCACACGGGACTTGGAATCCTTGGAGCTCTTCCTTGCCTCAAAAGCGATTGACGTATCGTAAACTCGCGTTGGCGCACAGCTGCGAACCACCGGGGTCTCGCGGTCGTTGGGCATTTTCCAAAAGTTAACAATAATGCAGCGTTCTCGCTCACTCCTGCATGGTCTACCTGGACACTGGACGGCAGGGAGGGCGGGAATGTTGCAAATTGTTAGGAACCGCCCTGCCAAGGCGATGATGATGAGGATTGGCTTGACCAATCCTCCCTCCGGTAGGCAATGTTCGTCGTTGTCACCTTGGTGGGGGAAACTGAGGTTTCCCTATGGGAAAGGGGGATTAATTTGAACAGAGAAACCTCGTCAATAGTTAGTCTCCGCAGAATTCAGTTCTGCGTATCAGAAGCGACAACTTCTGAGGGTCAAGGTACAGGTTAAGGGCACAGAGTATGTATAGAAAGCGGCACGAGGGAAAAACTATACATATGTGGTGAATGAAAAATAATGGGGATGATGTTAGTTACATGTTATTATAATAAAATAGAACTTTAACTAAGTACAAACAATAAAAAATCAAAAATAATACACTCCCCGGCGGGGAATCGAACCCCGGTCTCCCGCGTGACAGGCGGGGATACTGACCACTATACTACCGAGGACGCTACGATTGTTATAAATAAATAAATGGGATAGTTGATACTGACTGTGTCAGTGGGATACTGGGACGCCGAAATTTTTGCAGTTCACGCAGAAGGGACGCGTTTCCGCGTCATCTTCTGCGTTACTGCATGCTATCGGAAAAGAGCACACTAATGTTGCACTTAACGCATCTGTAGTTCAGATTGCAGTTAAGCGAACGTGTTTTATGCGCTGGCATCTCTTGCATTGGATGCGGTCTTTTTTAATTAATTTTTCCCATGAAATGAATGAGTGAAGTAAAACTTTAATTTGTTGAAGGTTTTCGAATTTGCTGTTCGGTGCTAATTGGACAATATAAATTGGAAGATTTTTGCCTTCCCTAATTGATTCCTGCGTTTTGAATTTATTTACGGCCGCGAAGTTTACGTTATTAATATTGTGCTTTTTTAATTCGGCGAGTACTACTTCTGGGTCGTAGTCTCCTTCCAGGTTTTTTAATAGAATGGTTAGATATCTTTCCTGTTTCGGTTTTGAAGTTTTCTATTACGTTTATGTGTACTGTATGTTTTGAATTGTTGATTTTTTTTATATAGAAATCTTTTGTAACGGTTGCTATTATCTCTTGATATTATCTATTATATTTTGATATTTGAAGTCAAGGGTACCGTTACCTCATCCGTGAACCTTGACTTCTTCTTTGGTAATGTCGGCTGGGTATTTGCAACGGGTTGTCCCTGCTGGCTGGTCGAAGGGGTGGCGATCCTCTTCCCTTTGTTTCCCAAAGCGCTGGTTTGTACGGTCTTCCTCTTTGCTGGGACTGTGCTCCAGTTGCCATTGTCACGTTCTGGTATACTGACCACTCTACTACAGAGAAAGCCATGGTTATTATAAATAAATAAATAAATGGGACAGTAGATACTGTCTGTGTCAGTATAGTTGTTATATAGTTTGGTTGTAACTATGGAATAGTTAAGGTCGATTTAGAGCTACTTAAATTTAAACAGTGGTGTTTGTATGTGTAATTTGAGATACTGACCACTATACTATTGAGAAGTTCTTGTCGATAGTTTTTAAATAATCGTTACACAAGTTATCATAAATATTTATACATTTAGATTATTTATAATATTTATTATAAATATTATTATATTTATACTGTATAATAGAGTCTCATCAAATAATTACAAACCAGGATTAACTCTAGCCACCAGTACTCGTCAGTGTTGCGTCGGTCTTTGTTTCTTGATTCTTTGTCCATGCTTGAAAACCTGTATTTGCAATGAATAACTGCGCTATTGAATAAGTGTACGCGTATGAATTTAGTTTCTTCGTCCAGTTTGTAATTACTGGTGATATTTTATTCGATTTGTACAATAAAAGTTTGCCTGTAATTAAGTATCACTGTCGCGATCAGTTTGCAACACTTTACTATGCGTAGCAGAGAACCGCGCAAAGCATATCCGGTATTCCGATTCCTGCAACGGTTGGATTGAGAGACTAATGGGGGATTTCATTATTCTCTCCCCATGTACCAACATAACTTAGTTACTTTATTTTTCAAATACAATGACATGAATACTTGAAATCACTTTACATCGTCAACAGTTTCGAAAATATTCGAGTGAATCGATTTAAATGTGTCATATTTTGCAGTATATACAGATTATTATAGATACCTCTAGTAGTGGGGATAATTTTTTCAGGTTTGACACAGTATACTTTCGCACATTTATGGTGGGAGTACTGTATAACATTGTACACATACTTGTGAGAATTGGCTGCTGTCTGTTGCTATCTAGCGGCGAGACCAGGAAATTATCGTCGCGTTTGATACTTCGTAATTGACAAGCAACGTAACAAGTAATCGTAAGTCCATCTAATTAAAGCGTTGTTCGTGGCGAGTCGGCAAAGAAGTAAGGTTCGCTCCGACTTCGCCGGAGCCGCAAAATAGTTGTCAAAATGGCGGGCGAAGGTTCTGCAAGTGTGAATCCGAATTGCGAGGTCGTTCGTGGACAAACGTTCGAGGTCGGCCCGCGGTACACGAATTTGTCGTACATGGGTGAGGGTGCCTACGGGATGGTCGTGTAAGTGTCTTCGAGTCAATTCACCCCGTTACTACCAAGAATTTTCGACTATATATCGACTGGCTGACAGGCCGAAAGATAAACAATCAGAAATGCAGTTGTCAAACCAATTGCCCGTTCTACGGTCAGATTATCGTTCCTAAGCGCGTATCTAAGATTTTGCTCGTGACTTGACATCGTGTGCAGCCGCTATTAAGCGCTACTCATCGTTATGTATTGTCGCCTTTTGGCGCCAGTTTTAAACGCGATTGTCACACCCTTTCGAACCCCCTATCCACTTGCGTGCAGCGTCACGACTTCCTCGTTCCTCGTTCCTTGTCGCTTATCTCTCGCTTATCAGCCTTATCATCGTACCGTTAACGAGATCGCGATTACTTCCACAAATACTTTGCCGAGGTGATGAATTTCTTTGCGTTGAATTTACGAACCTTCCACGAAATATGCGAACTCAAATTGTTCGACGAGAAGTAGATTGTTTTTTTTTTTTTTTTTTTGACAGTATAACATTGTAGGCCTTCCTCCTTTTTAATACGTCATCGGAACTGCATGATTCTTTAATTTTACAACGCATTTCTCGCGAATACGTAGAGTTTATGTAAAATTCGGAATCACTTTTAAAAGTACTTTATATTTAATTTACTGGGCATATTCTATAATATTCAAACACCACTTCCTGTATTGTGGTTACAGATTAAGGGACACAAATATCACACACATATTTTATAGTATCATATCATTCTCTATTGATGTCATTCCCTTGAGTTCTAAAATTTCACAAGATTTCCTTGTTTGTAAAACAAATTGGTTTAATTGATAGAAGCTTATCTGTGGTTTATTTTTGTTTACTCATATATAACTTTAGAAGAATCTGCAACATTAGATTTAAACCAGGAAACTGTATATAATTTTTATGTTCTATAGAGTTAAATACTTTTGTTTTAGATATTTTAGAATTTTCTTTTTACAGATCTGCATATGATAATGTAACAAAAACAAAGGTAGCTATTAAAAAAATTTCACCTTTTGAACATCAGACTTACAGTCAGAGAACTTTAAGGGAAATAAAAATACTGACCAGGTTTAAGCACGAAAATGTGAGTGCTCTCTTATCAGCTTGTGACTGATAAGGTATCAAGTCGTATTGACATTGTGTTTCTGTTCCAGATAATAGATATAAGGGATATATTAAGGGCACCTACTATAGAACAAATGAAAGATGTATATATTGTTCAATGTCTGATGGAAACTGATCTCTATAAACTTCTTAAAACACAGGTTGGCATTATAATGTGGTAGATTAAAATAATCAGGAGATTACAATAGATTTAAATCCTCCTCTTTGAATTCCAGGCTATTAGTAATGATCATATATGCTATTTTCTTTACCAAATACTACGAGGATTAAAGTACATTCATTCAGCAAATGTATTGCACAGAGATTTGAAACCAAGCAACTTGCTCTTGAATACCACATGTGACCTTAAAATCTGTGATTTTGGTTTAGCCAGAGTTGCTGATCCAGAGCATAATCATGCTGGCTTCCTTACTGAATATGTAGCAACCAGATGGTACAGAGCACCAGAGATAATGCTCAACTCAAAGGTAAATAATAAGTTAAACGTTGAATTTCAGCTTGAAAAGTACGCAACAAAGTATTATATCTCATTGTCCCTTTTCACAGGGCTATACGAAATCTATAGACATCTGGTCAGTTGGTTGCATTCTTGCAGAAATGCTTTCAAGACGAGCAATATTCCCTGGCAAACATTACTTAGACCAACTGAACCATATATTGGGAGTCCTTGGATCGCCGTCTTCCGAGGATCTTGAGTGCATTATAAACGAAAAAGTATAAATTATCCGCCTGCATTTATCGTTGCGTTTGTAAATTTGCTTTTTTTTTCATTTAAAAATATTGTTTATTTCAGGCACGAAATTATCTTCAATCATTACCGTACAAACCGAAGGTCCCATGGACGAGTCTCTTTCCAAACGCCGATCCACGAGCTTTGGATCTGTTAGATAAAATGTTGACGTTTAATCCTAACAAACGAATCGTCGTGGAAGATGCGCTCGCGCATCCTTACTTAGAACAATATTACGATCCCGCCGACGAAGTACGCATCTTCTTAATAAATTTCAACATCAGACAGCAATAAACAAACGCGGATGCAAGTTCCTAATATGTAAAAATCGAAACTATTTCAGCCGGTCGCGGAAGAACCATTCAAGTTTGATATGGAGTTAGATGATCTTCCAAAAGAAGTTTTAAAGCAATACATCTTCGAAGAAACTCTGCTGTTCCAGAAGAATAATCAGGAAAACGCTATGTAGTCTACTGGTATCGTCTCCGTTTATCTACGTTAACTTAACTATCCTTTGATAATTAGCACTCAAAGTAATTCGTAATATTTTCAGCTGTGACGAGTGTACAGGACGACTAAAAAGGAGGCGAACATGTGACGTCAGAGTAACACAACTGTATTTCCTTTAAAGTTGTCTACTGTCTACGAAAATAGGAGAAAAATCGAAAAAGTTTTACGAAGACATTGGATCGAAAAGGATCGAAATCGGTTCAGCGATTAACGGGCGAAAGAAGCGGTGAAGGAGGTAGCCAAGTAACCGCAGTGTCTGTGCATACACACTTGTACATTCGCATGTCTCTACTGAAAAACAAAATACAGTGTTTTTTTGTTACATTGAATGCATAATATTAATTTGTACAATAACTTTTATTTATCCCGAATTATATAGGTAACGCTAGTTGACGATTATATTGTTAATCACCGTCATACATTGTCTGTGATTTAATTGCTGAGTGAGTGAACGCGGTCGGTGTTCATGTACGAGATAATTCTGAGCCACTTAGCACGGCGACCGATGAGAAAATGAATGCGCGCGAAGAGTAGTACTCATAAAAAAAGTATGCTTATCCGTAAACCGAGTATACAATGTCTCTGTGTCAGGGATGGGCAAAATGTATTCAACAAATAATCGAATGTCGAATATCTTATTAATTTTGTATTCGGTTTGTGATCGAATACTTGAAAGTATTCATACCTCGTATTCGGTAGCTATGCAACTAAAGAGTACTTCTATTCGGTTTCGATATTCGGTAGATTTTAATCTAGGTAACGAATATGTGGGCCACGAATAAATTTTTATTGGAACAATTTAATGTGTGTCGTGGTCGTGTGTGTATATAGTATTAGTGTAATGTTTGCCCTGAAAATGTTATATAAATAAATAACTTTCAAATAATATAAATATTTTACAAATTTACTTATTTATAATTTATTTGTAGGAAATTATTGAAAATTTGTTTACTCTTATACGTGTATCGATTTAGTTATCTAAAAAGATTAACGAGCTTTTAGAATGCACTGGACATGTTTGAAAATAGAATTGAATAAAAACTTATATATAAATTTATATTATTTTAAATTTATTTATAATAAATGTGGAGAGCATCACGACACTAATGCCATGTACACACGAACATTCGTAAATGAAATTGAATATTAGTATTTTTTACTAATCGGATACCAAATAAATAAAATAGTGTATTCGGTATACCAAGCATCGTCGAATGCGTTATTGAAGTATTGTTCGACGACACGAATGAATAGAAAATACAAGCGAACGTCGATGTTTGATCGGTAGAAAATACAAGATGCCAGATTATTTGTTTTAAGCACTGAATAAAATTCAGTATTTTAGATGTATTTCAATTATGAAAATCATTCGAACGTGCCCATCCCTGGGTACTGCGAAACAACAGCCATTGAAGAAGTCACACCGAAGTATTTGCAGATAGTTTCCTTGTGTTATGTAACTCAGTGTCATCATTCTTATTATGGTAGCGCGTACCTTGCAGAAATTCTTTTCTGCCTTTTATCGGACTTAGCTTGTAGAGGAGAGGAAATGGAAGAAGGAAAGAGAGAATGAGAGCGCGTGCGCGTGAGAAAGAGCGAGTGAGAGACGCAACAAGAAACGTTTATCCGTAGTTAATTGCATTCGATGCAGCTTCCAGTTCTTCTGAACTATTTAATTGCGTCTTGTTTCACAATCTACTGGTATTATTACACTGATACTGCCATTCTTGTGCGAAGCGCATGGTGTTTGTTTGAATGTATTTGTGTATTTTTCTATACTTTTACATTTCCGATCTTTTTGTACGTAGAATACGTATCACTTTCTGTTTCTATTTTATTAATGATTTCAGGGAACTTCTATGTCATTGTTTGAACAATTAGCAAACGTTGTAGTATATTCTTTTCTACGTTTATTTAAAAAACAAAAAACAGCATCATTTTAGAGCCACATTTACCTCTAATGAATGCGGTTTTCGGGATTCAAACACTCACCATGTGAGTTAGATGTACGTAAACGTTCTTGTTCCGATTCGTGTTTTTTCGCTCTAAGTGTACGTGTATATTCGAACGATTCTTGTTTAATGTTCGATACGCTCCTAATTAATGGCGGCATCGCGAAGAAATGCGACGTAGGGAGAAAGACAAATTACACTTTATGTACACGAACGTGTCGTCGACGATGAAAAGACAACCTTGTCCGATTGTGATAACAAATATACGAATTTCTGGTGATATCAAGGCACGAGTGAATCGTGGAATTGTATCTAAACGGGCGATTAATTTAATTTCCATTTGCCTTGAATAGAGTTTAAATACTGCGCAAAACTAATTGAAAAGAATAATAATAATAATAATAAAAAAAAAAAAACTTTAATTCCGACAAGATTATAGTGTAGTTTCATCGTGAAATCTTGAAATATCAATGACAATCGGATGACGAGGACACGCTTGGAACGAAAAAAAGGAAAGAGAAATTATTCTTGTCTCCGAAATCAAAGTCTCGATGTATCGCGCGAAGGTAAACGATTGTAGATTGATGAAAGGGTCAGGGCTGAAGTAGAATCTTGTTAATAGTGAGAGCAGAGAGATAGAGAGAAAGAGAGAATGCAAGCGAGAATGATGTAAAGTGATAGAGTAACAGGAGCGCAGAGAAAAATGAAATATGAAAGATACAGTGTCAAACACTTTGCCTCCTTCAACTATCAGATCTCACGTTCTTCGATGCATCTAATAAAATGTTCTTAATAACACGTCGATGGTGTGTATTCGTATTTTACTCGAGACGTCGATAATCAGTTATTTGTGCAACTCACATACAGCGCTTCGTTGCCTCCGATTCGAATGGCATCCTTTTTGCGATTTAACGGAAATATTCCAGAGAATATTGTATTTTCCACGCCGGTGTCCTCTTCAATCTCAGCGTATTTTGTTTTACAGAGCCTTGGAGGGTATTGGATTATTGATTCAGCCTTGTTACTGCTTTGTATCTGGAACTCCGCGAACGATGTTAATAATTCATTAAAGTAATCAAGAGAAGTTTCAGAAATTTAATGAATCTACGAAACATTGAGACGAAATTTAATGTCATCCTGTGATTGGTGTATTCATTTCTATGTATAAAATTTTGAAATTGCACGCGGATATCCGAAAAAAAAGTTTCGGTCATTCGACGAATTCAAGAAAGTTAAACAAATGTCTGAATCTTGAAATTCTATGAGAAATCAATATTTGTCATTTCTATAAAACACAGTTTTTGTTTAATAATCAAGAGTAACGATCGGGAGATGTAACAGGGAGTTTTTAATGTTTTTCTATTTCTACTTTTCCCTTGTATAGTTTTCGTAGGAATAGTCATTTAGAAGAATTCATTGGAGTTTACTTTTCAGAAAAGCACAGATACACACTGTATGCGTCCCAGCAGCGGCAAGGATCAAACTCGTGTCTTTTTATACTTCGTGTCCTTGTAACTATAACTGTACCGTTGTGACGTCGACCGGATTTTTAAACGGTGATTTCACCCATGGAAATTAGTAATCAACCGATTACGTGGAACGAGGCATTAATTTCCATTAAAAAAAACTCCCTGTAAACTCGCACTTTATGCGAGTAATCGAAGAGGACACTTACTCTTTGAAACATATGTGCCATCTAAATGAATTCTTGATGTGTGAAATGTTTTGATTCGTATTTGCCATACGCTTGATGATACTGAAAATTTGTGCCACGGTACAAAGCTTCGAAACCATTTCATTTTTCTCTTAATAATTTCCGATCTTTTGTTCGCGTCGTTAAAACTGTAAAATGAATCGAAACTCAGGTATTTATTCTAGATCTTGATCGTGATCTAGTCTGAAATTTTTAGACGATAGTTAGAGATAGAAACGATTGGCAAAATTTTCAGTACATCCGCGCATCTCGAGCACGAATTACATTTAAGAAAGAATACAGGAAGAAAGTTCCACAAACTCGACGTGCAACCGAGAGGAAAATATTAGCTATAATTGTTGTTAACATCTTTACCCAATATTTTCCTTCAATGAAATATAACTGTGCAATAAACTTTCACACCAAGAGATTCTTCTACCAAATATTTTCAATTATACGGGTAAACGTAAAATGCTTACGAAGTTAAAATTACAATCAATTCTTTGATCAGTGTAGGTGTAATAAAATAATATGATTTACCAGAATTTTCATTTTTATGTAAAAGCAATAATTTATACCCTCAAGGAAAGTCTACAGAAAAATCATGATAAATGACAATTCTTTCTTCCTCGTATCCTTCCAAAATGTTGTCTTCAAAGTTTAAATAATCTTGAATGTTAAGTGAACTTGACTGATTTTTGTCGTATCAGACGTTCAAATATCCAAATCTTTCTGCGTGTACAGTGACTATGTGTCAGACTTTCGTAAATATACATATACGTATATAATATATTTAGATACATGTGTGTATATATGTATATGTATACACATGCATCTAAAGTTAATGCAAAGTCTCGTAGTATTAAAAACAAGACCGTCGAACAATTAGCACTGCGACATGTTTGCCGAATAATTTTCACGAGCTGCCTCGAGAAACCGAGGAAAAATTATTGGACCGGTCGACTGACTCACGATATCGGTGTTCCAAATCGCCTTTCACGTTGGAACAAGTATACTTGAATAATTAATAAATTTACAAGTCCTACAATGTAAATTCATAAATCGTATATTGACTTATTGGTTTTTCTTTCTTCAAATACATCGCGTAACCGATCAATCTAGTAATTGACGAATCGATAACTCTAAATCTCTATTTTTATTATGAATTTGTTGCAATGTCGTAATGCTGTTTAAATTCCATAAAATTGTCTTCTCTTCTGGATATCAAATACAAACTTCTACAGACACGATATTTAATATAGATTTTTGTGTTCCTGAACCATAACTTGAAGCAAAGTGTGAACATTGAACCCAAGAAATATTGTAAAACCACTGTGATCATGATATATCAAACACCACACCATGTGTGAATTGTACAAATCACATGGAAGTATTATTTCTATTATTAAGAATTGTCCAGCTAAAATTCTGAATTTTTCAAATGATTGTGAAACCATTGATGGTGTCGCTAATTTAATTATGAAGAAAAAGAAAAAAAGGGAGGGAAACTAGTAACATTGGAACACCATTATCGCGAAGAAAGAGGCACAGGATGCAAGTCGAATGCGAGCAACGATAGATCGTAGTGTTTAATATACATTGATAGAAATCTTATCAATATCATCAGGCCTAATATACTTAACGTTGCGTGTATTTGTTGTTGTTGCCGTTTCATATCTTATATATTCGAATATTGAAAAATATTTCGTCTATGGATTTTCAATGTTATACGTCATTTATGATAAAACAGAAAGAACAAAAAAAAGAAAACACAAAAATGAAATAGAAGAGAGAGTGAGAAAACCAACAGTGAAACGTGTCACTTCGACAAAGGAAAACGAAAACAGTAATTAAAAAACATATTAACAGTTTTTATGTAAGATAGAAGAAAGAGATCCTTGATATCTTGCACGATTGCCTTTTAGCAAACGAGATTGATATTTTTGATTCTGCGACAAAAATAAATAAGTAGTCGGTGAATAATTAAGACTAATTCACGATCGGGTAGACTGTTGCAAATAATAAACTATACGAAAATATACACACGTTAGAAAGTTGACTCACAGTTAGCGAACGTAGTTAGATGGTTTTTAATAAAGCACATAATATAATAGGAATGTTCGAACGCTTAATAGTATCAAAAATATCGCATCTCGTTTGTTAATGCATTGAATTACCTCGTGCCTCCAGCTGCATTCATAAAACTTAATACTGATCTTTGAATTGAAATAATTGTAGCCAGTAAGCATTTTTATGCATTTTGAAGCAAAGAGACATTGCAAAGCATTTTTGTTCAGGATTACGAACATTGCAAAGATGAGGTTAATTACTAATAAAATGAAGACTCATAGTAACAATGTAGAATTCTATGAATGCGGCTAAAGAATAATATTCCGATAATCCACTGTGTTCTTCGATGGGAAATCTTTCTTTTTTTAAATTAACTTCAGCCATTTCTCCGAATAATTGTTATTCGTGTAAATGATGAAGATACATATTATACATATATATGTATTGAAATCGTAATTATCAATTATTGTATTTTAAATGACTATTCAAAGTATTATTGTGCTAATATAAAAGCGGCTTTATTGGTCAATTATTCGGAATTGATGTCACAATTATTCTTCTCCCTATTTTCTCGATTTCGATGGATCGACGATTTAATTATGTTCTTTGTTCATTTCATACCATACAGGATGTGTAACACAATTACACATGACCCTTCGTTTGTCGTGTAATAAAAAGTTCGTTTCGCGATTAACGTTAGAGGACCGGTGAACTAGCGTTATCAAATTGTATCTTCTCTTTTTTTTCATTTTTTTTTAAAGTACAATTCTAAGAAATCACAGACCTCGAAGTATTTCATTATTTGCAAAATACATAAAGAAAATATACTCTAAATGCTCTGCATGTTTCGTATTAATCGCGTACAAGTTTATTTTTATTTACAGCTGTATTGAGTATTTTGAAGTTTTCTCTTTCACTTTTTTCTACCGGTTTTACCACTGAAATTTTTCGAAAGAAAAATAACATCTAAAATCACTACGTCACTTCGATGCACCATGAATTAAATATTCGTTTGCATACTTTCTTCCTACGAGAATAAATTTTTTCCATCAATTATGATATATTCGAAAATATGGACGATATATGTATTTTCTCAAACAACGAATGTTAATATAATATTATTACTGAAAATGCTCGATGTTCAATAATGCAAACGAATATTTAAAAATATATTATATTTCCCTGTACCCAATGCGTGAACGAAAGTCTGTTTTTTTTTAGTATCTATATTAGATAGTATTTACATACATTTTAGGAAGCACTCATTACCCGTTTGTTAATATTTTATACTGTTTAAAAGTGGGAAGATGATGTTTAGTATAAAGCATCAATATATAAAAATTATTAACATTGACGGTGATGTGCGAATTGCACCGTAAGAATAAGAAACGCGAAAATATTCTATATATATAAACATATATATATATATTTTAATTCTTCGGAAAAATTTGTAGCTGAAGCCTGCTACATAAAATTTTTATCTATTTCTGATAGTATTCTACAGACAGTGTAAGATTATTGGGCTTCTCAGGTGGTCAAACGAAACTGAAACTTATAGTTAAAAATTGTATATATTTTGAGCGAAGATTAATATACTTCGATAAAAATAACGGTAACATAAACGTAACAGATTCGGAGTAATGAGTGCAGTTTCTATGTTTCTATACACCAATTATAAAGATTTGCACAACGCTGTACTCTTCACTGAAACATAACGTCACCGACCTTATCTTATACATCTAACAAATTCGTTCATCTAGTCAACAATTATTCCGTTTCACTTCCTTCTTCCGTGTATTTGTCATTTTTCACTTCTATCCTTAATGGAGAGCGCCCTCTCGTGTGAGCACCGATGCGAGATCGAAGATCACCGCTCTTCAAAGTACTCCTTAGATCTCGTACCTTCGATTGCCTTTAAAACGGTGTTACACGAGTCAAAATTACATTCGTATAAACGGTATATCAATTGCTCACAATTCTTACCTATCTTTGACAGAGTTGTCGATAACTTCGCTTTTTACGTGGTTCAGTCTTGCCCACACTGTAGAGGCTACGCGAGGTTTGTGCTGAACTACTTTAATTACGCTGCCTTTAGGCCCTTGAACTTCTTTCGCCGGTTTGTCACTATCCTCGTCGCTATAGTCTTCGTCTTCATCTTTTTCTTCTTGTTCATCCTCATCGGTTCCTTGCCATTCGCCCTCTTCTTTTTCTTGGCTCTCATCATCTTCTACGATCTCCCCATCTTCCTCCTTCATAATGAAAAAATACGATTCGTATTCCAATTCCGCTATTTCTAATTCAAAAGATAATTTTTGAGACAATAACGGTTACCTCCGAATCATTATGTTTTAACGAATTCAACTTCGTTGCGTTAGTATTTGTTACGACTACTTGGATAGCATCGCGGAACTGTGTTCCTGGTCTTGATCTCCCAAGCCTTGCTCGTAAATCATTGCCACCGCTTACGTTGCATAACATCGTCTACGGATGAATGATAATGTTTAGATAAATCCTCCCTATACGTAGAATTTTCGATCAACAATTTACCAACTTGTTGCCGAAGTTTCGCCCGACGTTTATGAATTTTTTCTTCCTCATCGTCTGCATGCATTCGCATTCGTAACACTTTACTCCGTTTACGCCATTCGTCCTCGCTGTCGCTGCTGCTCGAACTACTTTCTTGTTCTTCCACGAGCGCCGGTTCTTTCGGAGGATACTTAGCACCCAGTCTTTCTTTTACGCTACGCCCTTGATCTTTGTGTTCGGTTCTCGTGCCGAAACCATCTTCTACGAAATCATCGAGACCCCAGCTTTCCGACAATTCACCCCACGGATTTTTTACACGTTTTTTATCCTTTGTGGTAATATCGTCTCCCGTCTCTTCTTTAATCCGTCTTTTAGTTTGCCTAATTTGTTTGTATACTCGTTTACGAGATTCGGTCAAAATTCCCTTAATTCCTACAAAAAGATGATCCATGTAAACTACTAAAGTTCAACGAGAGATTTATCGATAAATGATCTTCAAAACGTGCGACATTTACCTCCAAAATTAGGGTTTCCATATTTCTTATAATAGTCGCTCATTTTTTCCGCATTTGGTTGTTTCTTATCAGCTCTGGTAGCAAACCTAAGAAATATTGCTTTAGATTTTGGATTATCTATACCTTTTCTCCATAAGCCAGGAGGCAATGGACAATCAATATCCTTGATACTTATATAGTTGCCTTGTGATGTATCTTTTGTCGTGTTTGTACTTTCATTGTCGTCCTCCATTTCTATAGCACCGTCTTCGACGGCTACATTATTTTCTTCGTCGGGACTACTGTCGCGCATCTTTATGCTTTTTTGAGCCGACTTCTCCAAGCCAATAATTTTTTTCGATAGTCCTAACATTGCTCTGGCTGCAGATAAATTTTCTAACCATACCACATTACCTATAATACATTAAATATTAGCAACATATTCTTGGTTGAATATTTAGTGTATTATAAGTTGAGAATTAGAATTCCTTAAAGGTCTGGTTCACGGTAAGCATTAATCCTGAATCCAGATTATGGCTCTGACAGTTTCAAATTTATAAACTATTCTTACATGACACATCATTGATCCATTCGATAGATGCTGGAGCATAGTCCTCAAAATATTTAAAGACATCTTTGGTGCTCATTTCTTCCGTACCTCTCATATGTATCACATTTAATCTGATATTTTTTGTATTTTCATTGTCTTCCATAATGCCCATACTAAAAATCAAGATAATACACTATACCACGGTTATCCAATTGCCGTGCCATAATCCTCCATTTATCAAAATGTTCACCTGGAATATAAATCTTGTTCCTGGTTTGACACATTGCTTTTTATCTTGTCTGTTAACCCAAAACGTTTGGCTCTCTCTTCCATTTTCAGTTTCTCCTCTCTACTAAATATGTCTATGCCTGTCATAAATGTACCACCACGATTTTCATACCGACTATCAGATTCTTTCTATTTGCAGAAAATAAATACACAGCATTAATCGTTGCTGCCATAACTCTACGTACATGTAACTGTTTATACGGTTAAAGGGTGATAAAATAATTAGGATATTTATAACACAATGTAGCAAAAGTTAGGAATCAAAGGTTAAGAAGTAAACTCGATCAAATTTGAAAATCGATTGCAAATAGCGATCAACGATAATGTTTCTTTACCTCTGGTATGTGCACATTGTTCAAATTAAACGTTTTCACGCTCGCTTGGTCCGAATCAACAGCTTTGCTGTCATCCGCCACGGGAATCATTTCCACGTCCATACTTTCGACTAAGTCTTCCATTTTTTCCAAACCTCAACTTTTGCTTTCTCACAATGTTATAAAATACAATGATGAAAACATGAAATACCGGTTGTGGGATTACTATTTATGCAACAAAATGCAGAAGAAACAACACGATAGGTTATGGAGTATAGCTTTGACTATATAAATACCAAAGTTACGTATTCTGAATCTAGCTCTACGTATTATTTACCAATGCACGATCGCCTTCACCGCGTTATGCGGGAAATTCAAGTTGTTTGATATTTTTTATCAAATTTTTCTGCAAATGCTTTTATTTTGGTATCGACACACATCCATAGTGGTTTACAAAACGATGTATATTGGCATAAATTCCATTTTAATTTGCATAAATACGACCATACTGGTTCTCTTCTTTCCCTTATAAAATAGGGTTAACTGTAACTGAAGCCCTATCATTATCTTTCAACGAGATCCCACAACGAATTACATATAGATAATATTATTTTTATCAATGAAGCGTGTATACAGTTGAGATTTTTGGCAACTGACATACTTCGAACAGATTTAAATCTAATCAGACGTAATTCATAAACTAAAAGATTTAAATAACGACTAGGATGACATAAATTACATTTTTCAGTATTCTGAAATTAACAACCGTATCGTTTCCTCGAAGGATCGCATTATTTCCTACCATTAGATTTTATGTGTATTGCAATTACTTGTACAGTATCTATGATTCATCGAACAAAAACTCTAAACAATTATAGTATAAGGTGTTCCATGAAGTGTAGACATAATAACAGAGATAATCAATTAGCCCATGAAAATATCTTATTTTTATTGAATTCATTTTGCGAGCTAACTGTTTTATCTATATAGACAACACTATCCTAATCGAATACAATCTACATACCCGTACATTAGTATACTGGTCAAGTTTACAAAATTCTTTCGTAAGTTTCGATATAATGACTCACAGTATACATAGATTGTGGTCGATTAGAATGATTTCGTAAAAGAAGATAACATAGTTAGAAGGTTAATTGTAATTTTTAGTTTTTAAATAATTTAAATCTCTCTTCAAATTGTCTTGCATCGTACAAATGGAATTTATTCGGACAGAATCATTTTTATTTCCCTATGTTGTAGTATTGTTGTTAGTAGAAGGCCACTCTGTGGTTTGTTTATTATTATGTAGTTGGACGCTAAGTTAATTCACGTAGAAGTTACGTAATAAGGGGCAAATACCAGTTTGAAATCTATCTTGATACAAACGCACAGGTTGACTCAAATGATATTGGCTTTCAGTATGAAAAGTCCCTCAATTTTCGATCTGAACGTTGGAACGTGGAAACAAAATTCGATGTCGAGTACTACTCGACACAGGGCTACAAAGAGTTAATGGAATGTCGCCCCGAAGATCAACAGAGCGCGGAAGCATCGTATTATCAATATCTATTATCATCAGTTAGATGTAGGTGCTTCAACTTCGAGGCTCGATCTTTCCGTTTACTGGACGTTACTAAAGTCGACGTGAATTTTATCGAGCGAACGCGTCTACGTCTTCGAACGGGCAGTTAGTGATAAATTAAGGAGCGATCGCGTCTATTGACACAGTTCGTCGCCAACATCGTTTTAACGTGGATCGTCGATCGATGTCCGTCAGGTCTCCACCGCAGAAAACTCCCGCGAAATTTTCGACGGGTCCCCGTGGATCGTGGACACTTTTCGTGCCAGTGAACCGTCAGATTCGATCGGCATTTTGAACAGTTCTAATCGCGAGGGTGCGGAAAACGTGAATTACAAAATGTACGAGAACGGGATGACCGAGATGACCGAGGTGGTAAGTGATTCAGAAAACTCGAGCGTCGACGCGACGGAAAGTTTTTGTATTCGTTCGCCAGAAGCGTCTATTTCGGTAAGATTTTTCTTTACGCTACAGAGCAATGCGCTAGACTATTAAGAGCAATTGGTGAGCTTAGCATTTTAATAGCGATACAACTGTATGCGTTGTAAAGTTGCTTAGAATATTTCCTTACAAGAACAAAAAAATTTCACTTTCAGTCACGATTTTCTGAGCGTTGAAAAAAAGGTATGCAAGGGTATAGTAGCTCCGTAAAAAGTTACATGAAAACAAAAGAGACCGCAGAAAATGATTAACGATTACCACTTTGTTTCTGCCGCTCGGAGTAAGTGCTTTAACTTATTAAACAGTAAATAATTTATCAACACGTTGACAGCCACGCCTGTTTTCCAAGCGTTTAGAATCGTCCTCGGCAATTACTCCAATTCATGGTGGTATACTTTTCAATCTATAGCGTTCCTAATACCATTAACATTATTTAAATGATTATAAGTATCATGGCTCATTTTAAGTATTGGAAAAGAAGGCTAAATTAACATTTTGTTTATACTAAACAAAGCAACAACGTACGAATATTAATTTGAGTCACGATACGATCGTAAAAACAAACTCGAGAGTACAATTTCTATATTCGAAGCAATATTTATATCATAGGATCAATAGCATCGCAGTCACCGACGTCCTGAATCGCGAATCGAACGATCAAAACTCGTTACTAGAAACGATACGAATATTCAAATTTCATTGTGTCTTTATAAGTAACGATCTAGGCGTATCTGGATCGTTTATTCCGTGTAACTGATCTTCTAACCAGAGGAGCTCGAAGCACAGTGACTTGCGACGCAAACTCGATCGTGAACTTGAACGATCGTGATCTTGAGAAGGACAACAGTATATTTAGATCGAAACAAGAACATTAAGAGCACGAGTATCGCCGGTGACGCGTATACAATTAACCAAGCACATTTAAACATTCAAGATTAAGAGATACAATTCGTCTTCGACGCCGTGGAAATATCGATCGCGCGCCATTAACACGTGCTTCGTAGATCAAACAATTTTTATTACCTTGTGCAGTAAGTGCGTTCGCGTCAACTGCGACAGTTTAACGTTTTATTGTAAACCAGACGATTAATAGCGAAACACACTGTTCGTAAGCGGATAAACTAAAAGCTCGGTTCGAGTATTTTACTATTGTATTCGCCAGACCTTGCCTCGTGTGATCTTTACTTGTTTCCGTACATTGAAAAATTAAGATCATTAATTACGAATCCTTAATGAGAAACGATAACAATCGGTGCCGCGATCGACATAAAGTTACACGATATTCGTCGATAATCACGAAACGAAGAAAAGCGTTGCGATTTGTAAATCTATCAGGCTGATAAAATGATTTACATAAAAATGCGATTGTCGGTTACCTAATACGGCTTCCTTTAATTATGTCTTTTTACTGAATGTTAATGCCGCGGCGCAGTTTTACCGTGATAACGAGCATGGCGATACAATTATTCCCGGCAATTTCGTTCTCCTACGTAATTACGTAACCCGGTTTCTTATTATAATAACAAATATTTTCTGCACGCCGCGTGAGATGCTGTCTAGCTTGGCATCTATTCTTGTTTTCCTGGGTGGTTACCACGTCGGTGCGCGTTCTCGTTGCCACGGCTCGAATTCGAGACCTTGCAAACAGCGTCTAAAAATTACGACGTCATTAAAAAATCGCCAACACCGTAGGAGAAAAATTTAAACATTTCCCGGGAGCAACGTGGCGGCCTTAGATAGGGTAAAAGACCCAGTTTGCTTCGAATTTGTCGCCACTCTACGGATTCGAAACGATTCTGGTCCACTGCTTGCGCCTGGAATCACTTAGCGTATGCTTTACGGTTGTTTCAGAATATAAATTCATCCCTCAGTTCATCGCTCGAGCAACAAGATGTAAAGATCGCCAGTAGCGGTAACAGAAGCACGAATCTTACGTACGGGATCGACGACGTTCCACCATGGTACCTGTGCCTGTTTATGGCTCTCCAGGTATTACGCTTCGAAAGCTCTTCAAACGAATTGCAAATCTCTGTTAAAATCTGGCAGACTCGTAATCCGAAAGATTTCACTGTTTATATTGATAAGATATTCAACTATGTTTGTTACAGTTTCAGCGGTCGAGATTATCATAATCATTCTATGTACCTAGCGTTCAAATTCCACTTCCTTTCTCCGCGATTTTAATCGTTTGCTTTTTATCTTCTAATTAAAATGTACATGTAAAATCTACATATTTTTTCAGCACTATTTGACCATGATAGGAGCGATCGTCTCCATTCCTTTCATCTTGACGCCAGCTTTGTGCATGGCCGAGGATGATCCATCCAGAAGTTACATTATCTCCACGATGATCTTCGTTACAGGATTGGTGACATTTTGCCAGACCGTCGTAGGATGCAGGTAACGAGTCCGATAAAATCATTCACGCTGTAGACATCGTCAATATCATTATGTATTTTCCTTGATTTATGGGGCCAGTTGGTTTTCCTCTGTACCAATTTTGATTCGCTGCGAAAGAGAGAACGAATCGTTTTAATCCATCAACTCGGCAATCGACGCTTAATTGAAGCTGTTTGTCCGTGCGCCGTCTTTATGGTTGCGTGACGATTATGGCTCGCAATCTGTTAGCGCAAATATGATGAAAAAGCACATGTCACTTATCTCGCTGGCGCTCATCGAATTTAATTACGATTGTTTAATTCAACGATCATTGAAAATAAGATTCCAATCAATCAATTACTACGTATTAATTACTCGGTACGATGAAGTACTTAATCAATTATCTAACTTCATTCCCTTTGCTCATGTCTGCGACAAAAGTATGAAAACAGCGTGCACTCGCAAATCGGTTTATTTTTATACGTGCGTTAATAAAATTAACAGTAACTTAAAACGTATAAAATGTGCCAATGGAAGATGGTATCGTCTCAGATAATTATATCTGTACCTTAATTTGCATTTTACAACCCAGACGAGCAAATTACACGTCGGCTTACGGGCTGCAGCGTACAAGTAATTCCGAATAATTATATTTACACTCGCGATAAGTGATTTTTCTAACAAAGTAACGAGTCGACGTGTTATTCGAATTTACATGAATTTGATATTCATGGCGAACAATAGATACATTACAAACAGTTTGCCGGATACTCATAAGTCGCATCTACAACTTATGTCGACGGTATTGCAAGTTTATTGCGCGAAAATAGCATTGTACTCTCGTTTGGCAAGATTTATGGCTTGTTAGCGATCCCTGACAAGTTCCGGGAATGAGTTGTCGATCTTTATTTTACATTTTACGATACGAAGCGAGCAGAATTTTTGCAATTTCACAAATTACGGGATGATTGTCGTTCGAGATGATGAATATTTGCAAAAGAATTATGTAGTGTTTAATAAGAAACACTGACAAAGGAAGGTCCCCCAATGGTAATTAATGCTTTCCATTTCAGATTGCCACTGGTACAAGGAGGGACCATATCGTTTCTGGTCCCAACTCTGGCTCTATTGAATCTACCACAATGGAAGTGTCCAGCGCCAAAAATTTTGAACGAAATGTCCCCCGAGGATCGTACCGAATTATGGCAAGTCCGAATGAGAGAACTCTCGGGGGCGATCGCAGTGTCCGCTTTGTTTCAAGTGGTCCTCGGTTTCGGAGGTACGAGAAACTCATTCGAATCGGTCCAAAAATTTTGTAATTCGTTAGAATCCTTGCTAAACTTTCACACCTGCGTCGCGTATCTTTTTTTGCACAGGTATTATCGGCTACTTATTGAAATTCATAACTCCACTCACGATCGTACCGACAGTATCGCTGGTCGGATTATCCCTTTTCGAAAATGCAGCTGACGCGGCGTCGCAACATTGGGGCATCGCAGCTGGGTAGGATTCTGAAACAATAAAATTCCGATTATCCGACATACTCGAAAAAAAAATGTAATTCTATATCTATCGACTTTCCAGAACGATACTGATGTTAACGCTGTACTCCCAGATACTCGTCAACGTGCCGTTCCCGATCCTCATGTACCGCAAAGGCGAAGGGATACGAGTCGTGTGGTTCGAGCTGTTCAAACTATTCCCGGTAAAGATATTAACAAATCCACAAATCTACGCTCGTCTATAACTTACTGTAACTTGGTCCCATTTTAAAGGATGCAGCCCCCGCTTAAACCAGATACTATATTTTTATTATATTTCTAAGCACTGTTAACCATCAAGCTAAAAAAACAGGGAACTGTGATATTAATAGTAATTCGTGACTGGCTGATTAACTACAGGTGCTACTAACAATAGTAGTCATGTGGATAATCTGTACGATCCTAACCGTGACCGATGTTCTGCCAGTCGGTCATCCAGCAAGGTCGGACAGTAAGATAAAAATTATCAGCCAATCTCCGTGGTTCCGTGTGCCCTATCCTGGCCAGTGGGGCACGCCGACCGTAACCCTCTCCGGTGTATTGGGTATGCTGGCTGGGGTATTGGCATGTACAGTAGAATCCATCAGCTACTATCCGACTACGTCTAGAATGTGCGGTACGTAATACCAGCAATTGCTGATTAATTAAAAACCTATTGAAAATTACTCAGAAGACTAACCCTGACTATGTATATACGTAATATAATTTTCAGGCGCTCCTCCACCACCGGTTCACGCCATTAACCGAGGTATCGGTATGGAGGGTTTGGGCACCATGTTGGCCGGCCTCTGGGGCAGTGGGAACGGTACAAATACGTTTGGAGAAAATGTTGGAACCATAGGTAAATAATAGATTTTTATAAAAAATATAACATCGTACTCATGGCTTTTGACGTTGCAGGTGTTACGAAAGTTGGTAGTCGTAGAGTTATTCAGTGGGCGTGCGCGCTTATGATACTGCAAGGACTAATCAGCAAATTCGGCGCCATTTTCATCATCATTCCAGAGCCCATAGTCGGTGGAATATTCTGTGTGATGTTCGGAATGATCTGTGCATTCGGTGCGATAACGAGACGCTCTAATTTTTAAACAATTACTCTAAATGGCATCTTTGACAATACCACCGTTTTCCAGGTCTCTCGGCGTTGCAATACGTAAATCTAAATTCAGCGAGGAACCTTTACATCCTCGGATTCTCCATTTTCTTTCCGTTGGTAAGATCATTACGATACTACAACGTAACTGCAATGTTCGAATCTCGATTCTGTATAAATTCCTTTATAAATTCCTTCAGGTTTTGTCGAAGTGGATGATCAAAAACTCGGGCGTGATACAGACCGGAAATGATATAGCCGATGGTGTGCTCACCGTATTACTTAGCACAACCATCTTGGTTGGTGGTGTGTTGGGATGTTTGTTGGATAACATCATACCAGGTACAATCTTCTTCGATATATTTCAATAGTTATTTGTATATTTTCAATGATAATATATTTAATCTTTTTCTGGAAATCAAGGCACCGCCGAGGAACGTGGACTCATAGCTTGGTCGAAAGAGATGGAATTGAATACCGTAACAGACGATAAAGAAGACCAAGAAGAATACGTGCCCAACACATTCGATTTTCCATTTGGAATGGACGCCTTGAGAAGGTAAACGAATCTACATCGTGAATTAGCCCTCTATAGTAGAATCAAACTCAACCGGTCACTCAAGGTCACCGAGGTCTTGTTTGTTTACATTTGGTATATGTATTTCGAACATTCTACCGATTATCTTTTTTACAGATGGAAGTGGACGTATTACGTGCCATTTTTACCCACTTACAAGCCAGGAATCTATTCCTGCGGCCAGAAGAAACGATAAATACAATTTTAGTTTTATACTTATCGATACTGTTAAGAAACTTGTGATGGTATGAACGTTTGATGAACCAGCGTGCGAGCGACAAGTGGATATGTATTTAATTTGATCGAAAATGAGAATAAAACAGTTTTTATATAAAGACCAATTGGATTTATTTCGTATCATCTGCACGCACGTAGCTCAAAATTAATGATATCGTTCTAAAAAGCTATAGCAACAAAGTACTTTGTGACGTAGATTTAAAAATATCTTCTTACGTAGAGGACAGTACCGTGTTCGATACTTGATTGAATTGTCATGTGGCGCGAAATAACCGTTGTTGACGAGCAAACGTATAAATATTATTTCTAACAAATTGCGTACACACGAATAAATACAATTATGGCTACATCCACAGATATTGCTACGGTACTGCATACGTATACTGTTTCTGTTTATTAACACGATCGACTTACGAATTGTTATGAAAACATAACCTAAAATATACTTAACCTAAAACATACTAACCGGCTTATTTAAAATGCGACAGGAAAGTAACCTTTTTATTAGAATTATATGATCTACTGTTCGTAATACTTATTATTTTATTGAATGTATTATACTTTCTTGTGTTGAAGTATACTTGATATGTCATTTGTTTTCTGTAGAATGTATTTTAATTCTTGTTGTATGTATATTATCAACAAGCTGTTTGTGAATTTTGTGTAAGATCGTTTGTTATCGTGTACTTACAAATTGTTTTTGTGTATTGCATATGCAGATCAGAGTACAGAGGTACTTGAACATGCCATTGGTACAAAGGTGCAAGGAAATAGCAACGTTAATAGAGGAATCCAGCACAACAGAGTTACAACATGTATTTCCAATATTAATAGATTCACTTTTTGGAACAACAGATAATATTGGTTGGGGTTTACACAGTATCACTTTTAAGAAAAATCCACAGGAACATGAAACACTGTGTAATTTCCTTAACCCTCAGGGTCCAGTTTTCTCTCTATGTTATAAGTTACTACCAGATTGTTATTTGAAATATAATTTCCCAGTGCCATATTTGCCGGTATGTCAGAACTTTATGTTGCTGTAAATATAGTGGCAAAACACATTAATTTTCATGTTGATTTTTTCCCCCCAATGCAGGTCAAAATACGTTCGATGCTGGAGGAAGATGTAATACCACCGTTCTATCTTGATAAAATTAGAGATGATCAGAATACACGTGTTGTGTCGGGTTTAAATATGAGTATCCTTTTTTGTTATTCCAGTTTTAAAAGTCTAATAGAGAACTTAACGAAAATTTGTGTAGACTACATCCTTAACATCAACACAGATCCCTTTGAATATTATATCTTTCACTTTGCTTATCATTTAACAAACCCATGGTTGCAAGTTCAGCAACAGGATAATGTCTGGGTCAACTGGGAAACAGTTTATGTACAATTAGCACATTGTTATTTATATCATTTTTTACCTAGAGATAATTCCCCTGTTTTGCCAATTATTGGTCCATATATTTGGAAAACCCCTCAACGAAAATTAGTACAATCACCTGAATCTAAAAGGTATACTAACATCAACAAGATTGCACCATTTGGAGGCTCAATAATAAGTTATAAATTTTAATCAGAGATTATTACAGATTGCAAACTCCGCGATTGTTGAGAACATCGATATTATCGCCAGGATCACCAAATTCTCCGTCTACTGTACCGCAACAGCAATGTTTACCGCAAGTCTGGAGAAGCGAGACCGTGGTTCAAGTTTTTCTCGACTTCTGGCTAGAGTATATAGAAGAGGATCAGTTAAATTCACGATTAGGTTCAACGTACGTTGCGTCGGTTCCTCGTCGAGTAAGTTTTTCGTGAAATTTTGTTTTTATACTGTTCATAAATTCACGTATGATTTTAATTACAGCATAGTATTCATTCCGGAGAACACATACGTCTCGTACGAGCATTCATAAAGACTTTACACGAATTTGCAAATAGCGCACTAGGTGATAAAAGTGCAATGGACGAACTAAAACGGTAGTTACAAATATTAAGACAAACGCATAAAAATTATCGAAATTTTCTAAATATATCTAATTCGCAGAATAATTCTGCCTTCTGTCCAAGGCAAAATTTACACATTCCTTCGGAAAGCTATATATCATTGGCCTCTAGACAGTTCATTTAGATTAATACTTGAAGCATGGTTAAGCTTTATTCAACCGTGGAGATATTTCCCTGGTATATCGTATACTAAGGAAGGAAAATCAGAGGAAGAAGAACGGGGAAAGATATACGACATATGCAGATGGATGCCTTTTGTTGTGAATAATTTGTTAGCTTATACAGCAATATTTCAACAATTGCTCCCGCGTTTTATGAGAACGGATCTCGTGGCTCCCAAAAATGCATTGATGTTGTTCAGGGTTACCAAAGTACGTGTATTACGTTATTGAAATGATCAAAGTACAGTCTGATTTGAATAGTAAATTTTATAGGTATTCTCGCAGCCTTATTTATCGAGAATGATATGCGAAGTAGAGCGCCACATGGACGATGTAGGATTAAGTAGGAGTCGAGTATCTTCAAATCAATGGGCCTCGATTGTACGACAACAAATTCTAGAACTCGAGGGACCGACGTACCAATATATTCCAATGTTTGCAACGTCTACCGCTTCTCAGGTAATGTAAAATCTATAGCTCCATTTTTATTATTTAACTATCTTGGAATTTTTATGTTAGGTCGTATGTTTATTGAGCACGATCAAGCAAGGACATTTAACCGCGACTAGTTTGATCGATGCATTGGAAAATAAGCGAAAAAATAGACGATATTTGATAGCAATATGGGAATTCTTCAACGGCGAAGACTATTTCTCGGATGACATTAGCATAGAAGAACGACGTCGAGTTCCTCTATATCTGGCAAACGCGCAACAACAACTAATCGAAATTTTCGGGGTAAATATTAATATAATAACGAAGTAGTTTTATTTCTTAAATATGATATCTACAGATCAGTGTCGAAGACATTCCTCAGTTAGCTATCGAAGCCGACCAAGAGTATCACGAGAGTATCCTATCAACATCCTTTTGCCATCAATCGCAAGTAATAAATTCATCGGTTCTCTAATAATTTGATTTTGTTCGAATAGTATTAAACATATTAGTTTTCTAGATAGATTCAAGCTTGGATACAAGTAAGCCAGGTGTCTTTGTACCGATACAGAAAGACAGACAATCGTGCCAATACATCGAATATATGGGAGATCCAGAATTACAGCCAGTGAGAAGCAACGAGTGCGCTTTCCTCGTTAGACATTTCTATAAACTCTGCGCCTATGTAAACGCAAAGGTTAACATTCGTTTTGAATATTTTTAGTAATGAAAAGTGGGATAAAGATGTTCTAAATTTGTATTCTGTGAACAGTACCAACACAAGATAGCTAACATGTACCATCAGCGTGGTTTCCTCGGCAGCGTTTGCCGACAGATCTTACAACCACCCACCAAAGTTGTGAAGCTACCAAAACGAACACAGGATGGGTTCTCCAGCGGGTACGAAGAACGTATCCCGCCTCGACTGAGTTTACGACCGTTGGCTAATCATAGTTTACTTCTGACTGTGTGTTTAGGAATGTTCATCGCCTGGTTTATGAAGTACGTCTCGATCTCGACCCTTATATTGGCAACAGAAATTTTCATTACGGAGCTAATGTCGATCTCTCTTTACAGTTACGGTGCCTTTGCGTTTCTCGGACTCATTTTTTGCATATGGTTCCTATACATAATAATACGCGCGATATTCGAACACTAGACCAGATGGACCATCAGCCGATTTAGGACCAACGCAACATTTTCTGTGAATTAAAGGACGATGCGGTACTATTTAAGGACTTACGCGTACTAGTGTACAGAATTTGTATAAATATTGTAATTTTTCAAGCGAATATGATTATGTATGAAATAATTAAAAAAAAAAAAATGTAACAATCCATTGAAAATATGGGAAAACATTATTTAATAAAGAAAATGTTAAAATAAAGTTCGATTTCATTGATGGAAAGCTACTTTAACCTGTATCGCAAAAGATGTAATACGCTTTTGAAATCCACGCTATGAATATCGCTAGAGTAGTAATTATTTAATCAATGCGTATTACATACGAGTAACCGATCATTTCTGTGAATTTCGTACTGTGCATACGTATACCGGTGTCGCGTAAGTATGGTGGTTCGTTAAGGTCGGCATTGAGAGACAGGAAAATGATATTAGCCTGCAGTGGCGACATTCCATGTGGAAGGAATTGGCAAAAGAAATGGCAAGGTATAGATTACAATTTTCTCTCATTGAACGAGTAAAGTGCAATATGCAATTCCCCAACAGAATTTAAATTATTGCACTCCTTTAATGTTAACGTTAGCTAACTTTTTACCTGTACCAACAACAAGACAATTCGTGATCGCGCCATTACTTTCGAGCCCGCCACTAGCTCCCAATCGCATTAGTCGTATTAAGCCATCAGATATTTAGTACGATGGGTGTGTTTACTCATCCTATGCAGCTCGAACATGACCCGTTTTCGGTTTAGATTCATGCAACCGATATTCTGGACGAGAGGCTCGACTTTACGAGTCATTCAGCTTCGCGACGCGATTATGCATCCTTTTATCCATCGTCAAACGACCTGTTATGCGCCTGTTACGAACAATAAGCACGTTCGAATTACCTCGAATGGACTCGTTCTCTATTCGTTAAGACCGCCTCTGTAAGGAGGCGTCTTTAAGTCAAAGAACACGTGTCTGTTAAAATCAATGGCTATTAGGCGTGCCTCTATTGCCGCGAAGCACATTCCTTGTAAAACGATTCGAATTCTATGTCACTGTGGCAAACTTTTTGTTTCCCATAACCGAATAACGTTATTTTCATCGAGTGAAAACTTCTTCCTTGCCTCGAATTTCGAAAATAAACTGTACGGGTACGCGTTATTATCAATTTGTGCAAGATGCTCAGCTCCATAAATCATTTGTCTAACGAGGTAACCACAAGTGACTAAGTATCAAATAGCTACGAAACTGAAGTACGAGACACAGCCTCAAGTGTGTTTACGTGCACACGTATTTAGCCGTTGCATAAATTTTGTCCATCGACATGGTACCGCACGCGTATCGTAATTGCACGAAAATGCATTTGACCTTCGCGATCCTCGATGTTTTCCTTGACATAAAAAACATATTCTTCGATTCTTCGAAGTTGCTTTGGCCTTCGATAAATACAACTAAAAAATTACAATGATATTTATAGACAATGTATAATTATACGACGTCTGTTATTTTAGATTAAAAGATAATTTTGAAGTACGCGCGCGTTATAACGTATTTACAACGGACCTCCAAAGGTTAAACGCTGAACGCCTTATGTTTACTATGGGGACAAAACTTTCGCGGTAACTTAATACGGTTATAGGATCGTTTTTTTTTTTCCGCGTCGTCTGTGGGTTGTATTTCTTGGCAAGAGAATCTTGAGACGAATCCCGTGCGAAACAACAGTGTTTGATTATCACCATGAAACCGGAAACGCAGATATCGTCTCGTGCTTAAAAATCAGATTAAAAAAAATAATGCGAATGACATTGAAATGTTCTCTATTCAGGGTGTTCGGCCACCTCTGGGAAAAATTTTAAGAATACGAATTTTGTTGATGGAGGATAATTTGAAATTTTTTAATTTAATTCTCTTTCTCTCTAGAATCTCCCATTAAAATTTCTCTCAGGGATTACATTTTGCGCGGATATTTTTTTAAGTAGCCAGATAAATTTCGTAACCGTCGATCGAATTGTACGATTCTATTAAAGGTTCTTCTTTTAGCTTTCTTAACGGTGCAGCCGTGAAATTCATGGAAGCCGGCGGCTCTCACTGCGTATCGGACTAATTCCGTAATTGCCAGCTATTAGAACAATGTAATAACAGGCAAAGGTCGAAGACACGCTTAAGGCCGCACCAGCAATTAAAGTATAGTGTTAAGTTTATTGCATCGTGTAATTTTCGCGGCGTTTATTCAATGTCTGATACGTACGAGGGATACTTGAAACCAGATATGCAAGAAAGTTTTTATTTAATAAATTTGTTTTCTGTTATTTGAACTAGTAAGGAGTAACGCAGAAAAATGAGAAGATACTAAAATGTAACGATTTCCGTGAGAAACGAGCATCGAGAAAAATAGCGTCCCCGGGAAATCCGATTTTTCACACGGAATATATCTAAGCTGAACGCCCACATTGAATATCACCACCTTCCGTGAAAGAGAGAACAAAAAAATGCGCAGACCCATTTGTCTGGTTAACCTTGGCAGTAATCCGATCCTGTCTAATGTAGAACGGAATAACAAATATGTACCTGCTTGTTTGCGAGACGATCTAACTTGATTGGTAGACCACTGTATAAATAGACAGTCTATTTCTATGATTTCCTTGATCGGGAGCTGTCACTGTCACAATGCTGGTCGCGTTTTAATTTAAAAAGATAACAGAGAATTACGACAACGTTAAAAGAAAGAAAACGATTCGTTTCTGTCCGATTATAACACGCGAAATAAAAGCTACTGTTATCTACCCGTATATCCGTTCCTCGTGAAATAAGAGTCACTACCTTCTACACGTGTTCTTTGTATTGATTTTCGTAGCTACATCATAAGTTCTACTTTAATGTATTTAAGTTTCTATTCTATGCTGACTACAAAAAGCAAGAATGCGAGACTCATTTTAGTTGGAATAGTACAGTCACACACCGGACTTATGTATTAATTGGTTTCAGCGTAAGTTGAAAAAGATGTAAGTCACGATAAACATGATGCACATATGCATATACAAGTAGTTGCGGATACTAGGAGGGGGGGGCTAAAGGGGCTCGAGCTCCTCCCATTCGTTAACCAGAAAAGTCTATTATACGGTATGTCGTTTTTGTTAATATTATATCTTTCATAGTGCACGGAAATACAATTACTGATAAAACGCTTGTTTTACAAAGATAATTAAATGTCGTTTTTCAAAGATAATTATTATTATAGACAACGTAGGTGAAGTCCAGGGATTCCCTCCACTTGACGCAGATAAAACGTTTCCATAAAAAACGACTTTTTAACGTGTACTTTCCATTAAAATAAATACAGAGGTGCCTATATGAAAGAGACATTTATTAGACTGACCGTTCGTAAAACTCGAAGTTGATCGAGCTAGTAAAAGGGAAAAGAAGTTGATAAAGTTTTGTCACGGTCTAGAGATCGACGAATAAACTTGGTGTTTCAAACGTCAGAAAAAGTTGTATCTTCAGAAAAGAATTAATTCCGCTATGACAGGAGGATTCTAACCTAATTTGAACTACTTACTACCGTAAAGAGCGAACTTCGTATGTACTAGGGCCGGAATCTTTTTGTGAAATCGTTCCGTATTGGAACAGAGTTTAAATACTTTTATATACCAAAAATTAAAAGTATTCTTTTCTCTACAAAAATTTATAACTTGCTTAAATTGTATTTTCTTTCGTTGACTCAGTTTACTTTAGCTTAAACAAAACTTTAACCGAGCGTAGTGTATGTTACGTACGTTGTCACAATGGCGCCATTGGAATCTAAAGGGTTAAACTTTTCGAATAGTTCAAGACATATTTCGTGGTCAACTATTTCATGCACGTGCACGTGCCGCGTCTTGTACGCGGAGAATTTCTGTCAACTAGCCGTGGTATTGAATCCTTGCTCGCAGTACGTTTATCCAATTACGAATCTGGTAGAGTGTTATAGGAATCGTTGCAGACTCGGATAATGGCGCTACTTGTCGGATGCATACGTTTAATCGCGCATTGTGTTCCCTCGCTGTTTCGAAAGAATGAGCCTAATAACCGACGAGTATATCATTGTATCGTATCAGTCGCGTATATGAAATACATTATTTCACTGTCCAACTACCAATTCCTTTATCCACGATATGAATTTGGGCACTTATGCAGTTTATTCTTCTTCGAAATAATGCGTAATATTAACAACGATTCCTCGATCGTATCCGTGTCACGAAATATTTTTTAATTGGGACAAAAATCAAGTTTCCATGGTTAGGGTAGGTGTGAATTACGCAAGTACCTAAATTAACGTATCGTCGACGATTGGGTAAAATTCAAATGGCATGTTAGGAGATCCCTTCGTAGTATCGATTGAGATAAATAGTACGCTGCATAATTGCGTTTAGATAAAGCGTAAAATGAAATTACTTTATTCACCGAAGCCTTCCGTTCATCTTCTGTGCAAATCCACTGAAACAGGATCGCGTCACCGCTATACAGCACCGTCGATTTTCTTCCTGCGTCTACCACTACCGCCATAACCTATAACCGCCTTCGTTCCACCTCCACCGTCGCGGTGTCCCCGTGTGTCACGAGGAGGAACTCAGTTACGCGCCACGGGGTTGAGAAGTCGGACGCGTTTTGTCCACGAGTGACGAACATTTCTTTAATAATTCACAGACTTTCGGACATTAAAGTGACAGACGATCAACGTCGATCCCCGATCGATCTGCAACTGTACCGTAAACTGGCGCGCGGTCGTTGCTGATTGACGTTGATTGGTTCGGACTCGCGACACGCTGATTGGTTATCGAAAAAAGTCGAGTCAATTTCCTCGACAAGGGAATTAGCGAATATCGCGATGTTTATCGATCCTTTATTTCGAATTTATTTGAACGTTAGTAAAAAAAACATAATTTTTGTAAATCGAGGTTTAAAAAGTCTGTAACGAGTAAAGTCTGAGTAGAGCCATCGCGAATGTTGGAATCATGTTTCGAAGTTGTGTTATACTAAGCCTCTATAAATAAAGATGGACGTAAAAGCTTAGAATAGAGTATCATGAGTGTCTGATGATGTTAAAACACTATTATTTACGACGACTTTAATGCCCATTTGCTTCGTATTGCAAGCTCGTATCTAACGTTTTAATCTTCGATCTTTTTCTCATTTAAAAGTTTGTTTAGAGGCGAAACAGGCTGGCGGAAATAAAATTTCATTTAATGTAGGACAATGGAAACCGAACTTTCGGTCGTTGGGAATGGTTAACGGAGAAAAGTTTGCGATCGAAACTTCAACAGCTTGCGACATCGCGAGCTGCTTCGCTAATCTTCCTGTCAGCTGCTTCGTATTCTGTCGCGAGACGACCACAACTTTGAAATTGCGTTGCGACGTAACCGCGATCGAGACGATCGACGTTGATCCTCCCTTCGTTAGCGTTCGAGTACGGAACTTTGCCGGTTCGCGACGCGTCCCTCGTGAAATTAAAACTTTAATCTGTTTCTTTCGCCGGAGTTGGTGCAACTTTTTTGTTATCGCGCGATTGTGTGACGAGCCGCGTAATAATATTCCGCGGACGAGCTCCGAACAGACACGAAAAAACTGAAGATTGCTTTCTACGATTTATCGCGAAAACTCATGAATTTCAATGCGCAGCGAATTAAATCATGGCGAATCGAAAAGATCACAGAGCTCACCATAACAGCAATCTCACCTCCAGCGACAGTGTATCATCCTTGAGGGGATCTTCCGCTCTGAAACAACAAAACAAATAAAGACATTGCAAATTATCTTTACACTTCGCAATATTAATTGTTTCAGAGTTCGACGGAAATCGGATCTGAAAAAAAAAGGTGAAAAGGAATTTAACTCCGTACGGATAAAGTAACGCAAAGTTTCGAAGAAGTTTCTACGTGCAGGCGACGAAACTCGTCGATTAAATTACTCTAACTATCGTATCCATTATTTCCGCGTGATTTCCGCCGCGAGTGAAAATAAGAAGATCCGTGGACTTTAAAAGAATGGGGATAATTGAATATTCGATAAGCAGAGCGATTTGAGTTCTTCGATCTCGAAGCGGGGAAGAATAACGCCTCTGAAACTTATGGTAGAAGAAAATGAATAAGAAGTTGGTTAGTACAAGCGTATTATTTATAATAAACATTGCCGCCAGAGTTGATTAAATGCTTCAGAGCTTTTCTCTTCTAGATCTTCTTAAATGGAAGATTGCTATTTTTGATTCGACGCGGTTACATGGCTTTACTACTTATAAAAATTTGTTTCACAATGAAAATTTCAAGTGAAACAACGGGGTGCTGAACGCGTTCACCAGGTTACGATTAGGATTAGGGTGCGGTTAGAATCCCTGGTAATAACATGCTTGGACCCAGCAACTTCTTATTTATTTTGGTCTTCCGAGTACGCAAGCGTTAACACCATTTTTCTGGTTATGACAGAGGACCGCGCCGTGACCCTAATACCTTTCAAACGTGGCCTGCGGCACGCGTGTCGGTTACGTGGAAGCACCCTCCGATGAACATGCGCTGGAAGGTCGAGGAAGCTCGTAATAAGGCTCGCAACTGCGCGGCCAAAACGCGGCCGGACTCGAAACGCCGACAGAATGAACGCCGCGACTCGTGTCTCATTTTCAGTCACAACGTTTCGCGATGGACGATCCGTTTCTCCGCCGTAGAACGGAGTCCACGAGAGGTCCCTTAGTAGCTGAAGACTGTTTGGCCGGTGTCTGTCAGAGGGTTAACAAAATTTGTCCTTGATGTTGTTTTTGAGAGAAAAAAAATCGTGGGACGTAGATTAATGGTACGAACGATAGTTGGCACGAGTTCCATTCCTTTGGGCGACGATAGAGACTTTGAGAGATCGTTGACCGCGGGCTGAGAATTTATGTGGGCCGCAGGTGTTGCCAGACGTCGACCCTGTCCATGAAATACAATGTACAAACGTCATGAGAGTATAGAAACTTTGAGTTGCCTGGAGTTGCACGCAACATCTTACTTTTGAAGATACTTGGAACGATTTGACGCGTACCTGAAGTGGTATCTAACGTTGCCATAGCGGTGGATCAATGCGTAGCGTCGAACGGCGTCGGGACAAGCCCTGTCGCGCTGAAACTGGAACAAATATCGGTGATGAACTCGCCACCGGATCGTACATGCAAATAACCGACTCATCCTTCTTCCGGTCCTGTCCCGTAACACCATCGCCGACGTTAAATCGAAATCGATCGTCCTTCGAGCGTGACATGATCATTAGACGTCGCACAGAGGTCGCCATCCCAGGTTTTAAGGATAGGACAGGGACAGACGCGATGAGTCAAACGACCGTTTCCTCCTGTCGCGTTGACACGCGATTCGGTTCTTCGTCGTCTGGAGAGGAAGTCTGTCGAGGCTCTATTTAAAGACGCGGCGTCGAGCTCGCGTGACGATCCATCTGGACGTTTCGTATTTAAAAAAACGACGAGGAAAGCGCTGGTCACGCGATCAACGGTGTTTTCCGATCAGCCGGCACCGAGATTAATGAACGTCGATTACCAAAGACTGATCGTGCGTGCCTGACAATGGCGATCGCCGTGTTGCAAGCTTCTGACGCGTCTCTGTCGAATGGTGCACAGAGACACCGACGCGAACCCGTTGATAGACCGATCGGTCCCAAGGAATCTCGATGCTATCGAAATTAACGAGGCGGTTGGAAAGCGTTCAGGGTATCAGAGCGTCCATGGCGATGGAATTTCTGTCAAATGCCACCGAGCTGGCCGATAACTTAACCGTAACAGCGGTGAACGCGTCGACGCGATCGGAACTTAATCTACCGTACACGGTGTGCGAGATCCTGGTGGCGGTGTGCGCTGTGTTTGGCAACGGTTTGGTGATCACCGTCTTCAGCAAAGAGAAGAAGCTACGTCGACGCACCAACTATTATATCATATCGTTGGCCACGGCCGATCTGCTGGTAGGCCTGTTCGCCATACCGTTCGCGATCCTGGCCAGCATCGGTCTCCCGACGAACCTGCACGCCTGCCTCTTCACCGTCTCCGTCCTGATCGTCCTCTGCACGATCAGCATCTTCTGCCTGGTGGCGGTGTCCGTGGATCGTTACTGGGCGATACTACATCCCCTGGGATACTCGCGCACCGTACGCACTAAGACTGCCATAGGTAAGGAACGACTGCTGACGGCGGAGAGACTGAAAATCGAGTAACCAGACGTTAGATTTATCCTCTGCAACTAGTATCGTATTTAATCGAATTATAGATATGCAGGGTGTTCGGAATCGTAGGGAAAAATTTTAATGGGAGATTCTGGAGACCAAAGTAAGACGAAAATGAAGAATACCAATTTGTCGATCGAGGCTTCGTTAAAAAGTTATTAACGTTTAAAGTTTCGCCTGTAAAATGGCAATCCATACGCGCCGTTCCACAGGCGAAACTTTAAACGTTAATAACTTTTTAACGAAGCCTCGATCGACAAATTGGTATTCTTCATTTTCGTCTTGTTTTGGCCTCCAGAATCTCCCATTAAAATTTTGCTCCATGGTAATTATCTTAGCATATCTAATATTATATCCCCCGCGATAATTTCCAAGAATTGCGAACCAAGTTTGCATTCTAACGGAGATCGAATAACCGTGCGACGACCACGCGAAATCGCAAGTAGTAGAAGTCAATGATCGAGCGGACCTCGACTGAAAGGTTCGAGGAATCGAACTTGGGAAATTGGTTAATCGTCGTATCGCGCGTTACGCGATCGAAATGTCCAATTAAAATTGCTTCTTCCCAGAAATGTTTTGCACTACGCCACGGGACCGTTTAATTAAGCAGCCGTAAAACAATATCGACGCGAAGCCGCTCGATTATAATTTACGGAATTGTTTGCACGCGGGGCACCTGTTACATACGCGACTAAACTTCCGCCGGTGTTTCCCCATCGAAATCGAGTGTTATGCGTCCCGTTGCATGCAAATAACGAGCGCAGAACATGAGAAAGACGTAGAAATAACAACTCGATCGCAAATATTGAAACGCGCAGAACAAATATTGAAATATGCAGGACGATCGTGTCTGTAAAATTTTAGGGCACGCGTATAGATCCCTGCTATGTTTCGAACGTAATAAAACTGTACTCGAGATCGTCGAGGAACGTAAACTCTCGCCTAAGTGCGATCGCGTTCCACGTATGAATTAGAATACAGGACATCGAGCCGTGTCAGAACTGATTAGTCAACATTGTGCAGATATAATACTCCTAAGTGGCATTGTTGCGGATGCTAGTCGCTATTCAATGGCAACGTTATAGAGAATGCGCATACGCGATCATTTAACATTCTGAAAGAGTCCCAAACTTTTCTAGTCGTGGATCGCTCTTCGATTCGCAATTTTCAAAACAGTTTGGATAACATTCCGAAGAGGGATGTTCGCGTCGGTTCTCCTACTTTTTAATTCCACCCAACGAGATTATAATTTCCCATAAGACCGAGTCGTGGCAGAGGTGCAGAATGCACTTTCGCGTGGCAACAGGTGTTTGTGCTCCCGGTGCAAAAGACGCGTAAAGTAAAATTAATTATGAATCAGGGGACGCTAATTCTCTCGGGGAACTAGATTTCTTACGTCTCCTTTTTCTGAAATACTCGGTTACACAATATTCTTACGCAATCGTTAATTAATTATCGAGCTTCTGTCGGAATAAGTATTTTCTCATAAGTATTCTTCTCGTTAGAAACGATGCTGAGAGGTTTGTCCGAAAGTAACATTAGTCATTTTTAAAAAGGTAAAAGTAAATTTTACAGTACGTTATTCGTGCAGGTAGCAGTATCGATTCGGTCTAATGAATTGCTACAGGGCAGTCTGAGTAATTAACAATAGAATTTAAAAAATTTCACCCTCCCGCGTTGCAAAGATCGAGATGATATCAACCTCGCGCGAGGCTAGCCACATCGAACTATTCCCATCCGTTCGATTTCCCAAAGGACTTTCTTACGTTACTACGTCCCGCGAAATTGATGGAAATCGTAGCTTTGTGCCATCCTGTTACGTATCTCAGAACTGGAGAACGTAAAATGAAAAAATCCTGTCCCGAGTCGATCCAGGATTCGCGAGTTCCCGAAAAGGATGCCTGCCATGCGTTAAATTTTTCACGAAAGAAATTTAACGCAAACAGTAGGAAATTTTACGCAAACATTGTAAACTTCGACGATCGGGCATAAAAGATTTACGACGATGCTGCAAGCGCGGCGTTATTAAATGTTTGTTCTTTTTCGCGCAGAAATTGAGAAATGGCGCGCAATTTACATCATCGAGCGTGAATCCCCCATCACGAGTCGAAAGCAGCTGGCAAAAAATTGATGGCCAAGCGAGACGTTCCTCGTTTCGCAGGCTAGCTAGCCATGATTAATTCAAGCATTTCGCCTGTTTATGGCACGACTGATTTTAATTACAACCCCGTTGAGTGATACCGTCTCTCCGGCGAGCGAAAAAGGCACGTTTATTATCCTGCTCGGCAATCGATAATGTTCACGTGTACCTCTATCATCGACACCTTTGACCGACTTTCCGGTCTTTCCTCCAAAACACGCGCACGCTAGTCGACAGTCCGACAAGAAAACTCTCTTAGTTACCAATGCCCCACCAAGCATTTTGTTTTTGCCTTTAGAGTGTTTCGACCAATTGGTTTTGCCCCTCCTTGGTAGTTAAACATAAAATTTGTGTAAGCTACGACGGATAAAACTATGACATAAACCACTTTCAACCACTTAATTATGCAAATTAATTCCTCGAATAAACTAAAAATAGTATATGTTTCTAGCAATATTCTTTCTCCTGGGGGAAAAAAACAGCTGATCGATACTAACTCTTAATACATTGCCAACTGATAGGGTAGATACACCTCTGTCAACTACTAGCATTTAATCGAAATAGTTACGTTTGCACTACTTCTATCTAAATCTACCGTATTTGGTATAGAGATCAATTTTATTGATCCCTGCGCTAGGACATAGGCTTCAGGAACAGGACTTGAAATATGTTCTCTGGGGAGATAGGTACCACCCACTACAACGGGATTCTACACCCTCGGAACGGTGGAGATCTGTTAACAAAAGTTACAGCAGAATTGACCTTGACCTAAAAAAAAAAAATCAAGGTCAGCTATTTCCAAAAGATCCCCATCCAAAGGTGTACAATCCCATTATAACGATCGTTAATTATAATTTCCTTACACCCTATACATAAAGACTGGTCTTATTATGCAAATGAAAAAAACAAATATATTCAAATTATAACTGAAACATAAAATTGACCTTGAACCGTTCTTGAACAGTCGAAGAGCAATGGCGATTATAATTTATTCCAGGTATAATTTGCGTGTGCTGGATCGCCGGAACCCTCGTCGGTTTCCTGCCACTTTTGGGGTGGCACGCGGGCAAGAAGTCCAACGAGAAATGCATCTTCACCGAGGTGATGGATTACGATTACTTGGTGTTCCTGTACTTCGCCACAATTATCTTCCCCGCGCTATTAATTGCAGCCTTCTACGCCCATATATACCGAGTGGTCGTAAAACAGGTCAGATACTTTCGCCGTAAATGTAACGGTAACGGGCGTATACGTGTGCGATCTGTAAACATGACAACGAATTAATGAAGATCGCCTCGTGTTTGCGCCCCTCGAAATTTACCTTCTTTAATCGATCGTATAACTCCTGACGTCGCATCGCACTAATTAATATTTTGCATAAACACGTTGCCACTTACCATCCCTGCGAATCGTTCCAAAACTTCCTCGCAAGATTAAGTAAAATATGTTTTGTGCGATGCACGATTTCGGTTGTGACACACCGCGCAACAAAAATTGTATTGATTAGTGATTTCTCGAAGAATTAATAATCGCAACATAATGGCAGTTACAGCAAATCGTGACGATGTATCCTGGACGTCTTTCTGGGAATCAAACGACGGGGACGATGCTGCGTTTACTCGGGGCGGCCAGAAAACGCGAAGTGAAGGCCACGCAAAATCTTTCGCGCATCGTGATCTTCTTCATCATCTGTTGGTTTCCCCTGTACACCATTAATTGCGTGATGGCGTTCTGCCCGCGATGCAAAGTGAACGAGTTCCTCATGAACTTCTGCATCATCCTCTCGCATCTGAACTCGGTTGGCAATCCGTTGCTCTACGCTTATCATCTGAAGGACTTTCGCGCTGCCCTGAAGAGCTTCATGTGGAGGCTCCTTTTTCCGCACAGTGACGTAAAATCGAGTGCGGTCAGTGTAATACACGATCGAGGCTCGCTGGTCGGGTCTCAGAGACAATTTCAGAGACAATTGGCTGGTCTTGCTTCGGCACAGGACCAACGATCGAGTTTATTGCGTCAGGTAATACTCGACACAGATATGGGTAAAATTGTATCGGTAAATAATTGTTGCCAACTGCAAAATAAAAAAACAGCGGCACGGTTTCGTTATAAAACTCATAACGCAAGAGTATTGTTGGTATTTTGAGGTTAAATACATAGACATTAACTTCGAGTAATCCATCCCTGACAATCCAGTTCTTATCGGTACTCTTATTGACTTTGGCCGTTCATATGCCATAGTCCTGATAAACAAGATCGGGATTTTATCGCAAAGTTCCCACTACTTATTGGAAATATGTCTTGTTTTATCGACGGGATACTTCAATGAAATAATAATGTACATTTTACAAGCAGGTAACGGACGTCAGAATGAAAAGATGTTCCTTCGCGCCCCGTAACGTTTCGATTCGTGAAAAAGAAATGGATAACATTCACGAATCGAACTCATCGCATAGCGACAAGCAGGACGTCGATGGTCTTCCCAATGAGAACGCGAGCCAAAACAGCAACGAAAATCGTGACTACGAAAGCGATAACTGCTCGAACAACAGAATCGATTCGTGTCTGTCGAGAGCACCCTCTCGCGTGTCCTTGATGGAACTTCAGACTTATAAGCCATTGGCGCCACTTCTTCCCGCCGAAATTGATCACGTCGAAGAGACGCCACCGGCGTCGATATTCGTGATCGAGGTGGACGTAAATCATGTCGATTCTGTTCGGGAAAAAGTGAACGAGGAATCGGTAGAAAGCAAGGACAAGGGTTGATGACTTTTTTAGATTCTAACGAACCTGAATTCGATCACACTTCGATCTGATTTAACAGAACAGTCGATCGATGTTGCTTTCATAGCCGATGATAAATTATGCATGAACGAAACAGACGCTAATAAATTTTCAAAAAAGCGGATGTATTATTGATGTTAGTATCGTAATTCGATGTATAATTCGAATCCTACTGTTAATACTCACACATTGCGAGCGAATGAATTATTGTATGTAATTTTATTACACCTCGTAGCGTCTTGTTTTAGAAGTACCGATGTGTAGAATTCTTAACCACGCGACGATGAATAAATTTAGTTTCAGTAATTACTGTACTAACAAATTGGACGACTTGGTCCTATTATTGAGACTGCAAATACCTGACTGAACATACGTAGTTTGAGATTACATATTACTCTTTGTTGCTAATGTTCAGAGTTACATATCACATGTACAACGTTAAATAAAAATGTTACATTAATCCTGTTAGAGTTATCAGAAAAGTTAATGTTCTTTTTTACCAACAATGAATAATATGATTTCGGAGTTACACATATCGCACGTAGACTACAAATGTGTATTACGATTAATTTCTATTATTAAAAACTGATTCTTAACGTCGTATTCATTAATGGACGAAACGATTCTCGAATTAAGTTACAGACCCTTTTGCTAATTGTCTATTTTAAAAATTGATGTAAATAGGTGGATCGATATTCAAAATAAGCAAAAATTACTGAAAAATTGCTAAAAGGTTGTTTGTATGTTAGCGTTCATTCCGTAATCTGTATATTAAACATCAAATGAAATAAATGTCATAAAAATGGTTACTCATCATTTGGCTGAGATATTATTATCCCTAACCTGAAATTATTTAGGAAACAAATTACATCTCGAAACAAGTACATACATAATTAACATCGAATTAGACATATAGTAGTGTGACCCAGAGCAGCGAACAAAAGAGAATCAATTAAACAAAAAGAAAAGAAACACACGAAATAAACACAGAGATCATCTTACCTTTCTGAAAATGACACCGACGCATTACTGGGATTCTTGCGATTAAAACGAGTTCAAACACCACACGAATTAGGTTACTTGTAATTAGTTTAACAAATACAATACCAATTTGATGAAATCTGACCCTAAATTACTACACTTGACTGTTGGTGATGATGAAATTGGAGGCAGAACGAAAACAGTATTTTCTTCGTCTTCCTAAACGTGAACACTGTTTCCTCGCGTGCAATGTTATTTTTCTCTTAAATAATTACCTAATATACGTTCTTTCATTGAAATATCGACACAAACTGATTTGAACTTACTTGAAGTTGGCATATTCAGCAACAGGTAGCGTTTCCCGCCAAATATGGCTGCCTGGTAGACTTCCCGCCAAAAGTAGTGTGTGAAGTGATCAGTGGCGATGAAGGTGGAATCAGAAAGTGATCGTTCCGAAGATGTTCAATTTCTTCGTGTGAAAGTAATCTGAAATAAAAATTGACTATTAGACGATGGATCCGAGCGAAGTGGAGTTTTTTGGTGAAAAGGAATCGGTCACCATTGTACCAAATTTCAGCTTCGATACGATTCATTTGATATCGGGATCGATAGGCCCTTTTCGTGCCGGTCTACCTGTCAAAGTTCCGATTTGGTTGGCAGTGAATCTGAAACAGCAACAGAAATGCCGAATTATTAATCAAGAATGGATGAACACCGATGATTTGAACGAAGCGAAAGAGGAAGAAAAATTGTCAAAGTACGTGGAATCTTCCTCGTGTTCGTTCTCGTCGGAAGTTTCTCGGTGCGACGTGAAATGTATATTTCTTTTTTTTTAGATTGTTCACAAAGATGCCGAGCAATCATTTTATGGACGAAGCACAACTTTTACTGACAGTTGCGAGTGATGATATACCCGATGCAGATAGAATAAGAACAGCAGTGAAGGTATAACAGATCTCCAGTGTTATATTTTGTTAATACTGAAGTACCCTTTGTTTTAAACTGCAGGATATATGGGACATAAGGATGTCTAAGCTTCGTACATCGATAAATGCGTTTTTAAAAAGTGAAGGTTTGCATGCAAAATTGGACCATTTAACTGCCATGGAAATAAACAGTGTACGGCCATTACTGCCACATGCCTTGGATCAAATGTATAGGCTTCAAACTGTATGTGTAATTTATATAAAATAAGGGAAATTTTTCTTTTCATTTATTGCATAAATTTGATCTTTATAGGCAGGAAGGATGGTACAGTCTCAAAGTCTGGAGGGCACTCAAAACTGATATATTCCAACATTGTTTTTAGATAAATTGTTATCTTTTTTTTACAGTGTAAATATATATGTATATAAATTATAGAACAATCTTGTAAATAGAAATAAAGGTGATGGATAAAAAAAAAAATTCCTGCAACAACAACAGTATGCAATATACGAACATGATATAATAGTTTTATTATTTCTTATTCCTAAATCATTACATACAGTCACTAGCATCTCAATCACAATTTCTCATTATCACTAACAAATAGTAAATGCGTATTTACATTGGTAGATTGTCTCTTGGACTAATTACTCGCTCCTTTTTTTCGCAATATTTACATTTCCTAAGCTTATAATACACAGTCCTTTAATAATCTTTGATTTGAATCCTTAAAGGTATATCGCTTCGACAAACTTAACGTTGTTCGATCGATGAGCTCGTGAAATTTTAATATCGCAATATTGAACACAGAATCGATCGTTCGTTTATGAATTTCAAACGATTTGAACATATCGTTAAGTCTGCGCATCGAAACGTTCACTGTACGCTGTAAGGAATGGAAAACTGTATATTGCGAAGCAAATAGGTGAGAAACGTTGGAAACCGTAATAAAAATATCAGTTTGACAAATTTATACAAATTCCGAGGCACGATGCAAACATTTTTATACAGTTTCCGTTCAAGGATCGCCTCCTAGGAAATGACTATTACCTTCTAGAATTTTCAGAGATACCCTGAATCAATTTTACTATGGTATACTGCCAGTGCAACGACGTAAGTACAATGTTGTCCTGTATGTAGAGTAGATACTTTGCACTATCACACCAAGTACACGGCCGACGTTAATAAATACGGTTATCGTTAATTATTTACTGGACTGACATTACGTGTAACATAAGAAATGCGTAACAACCACATCAAAGTTTACGTATGACGTAACGATATTAACTGTATTACGTGGAACGATAATAGTCGAGTCGAATATGGTACAAAGTTGTAGAACGGTTAACGATCGATTGTTCAAACGGCCACAATTTTACTAGGATCGACTTTTACCCGGATAAACATGGTATTGTCTTTGACGAAATGCCGTTTTTTCACCATTTCGTGGGAAACGAATCTGGGAAAGCCGAAGCCAAGGGAATCAGGCTCGCGACTGGGTCTTTGGAAGTTCTTCCATGTTGGATCCGGTATAAAGCTTTCGACGATATTGCACGCCTTCTCTGCGACCACTGTTTGATCGAATATGGTAAAGGATACGCTATGAGAGAATGGCCATCGCAACAGAGCATCGTATTCCCCGGGAAGAATTTTTATATATATCGAAATGTGACTTCCTTCGCCGGTGCCATTTCCATTTAAGAAAACCGATGCCTAAAATTACCAATAAAATTAAATTAAATATACTTAAAAAGAACTTTCATGTGTATAAAATATAAATGACAGCATACCTGTAGCTTGTAACCATATTGACTAGTGTAGAAGGGGGGGCTCACCAACTCCATGCCTTCCTTGGCTTTCGCCTCGGACATTTTGGCACTGTAGTCCGTGATCTTCCATATTAGCGTGCCCGTATAATTTAAGGACAGTTTACTGATGGCGGATTTTAGACTGGTTATCTGATGCTGCTGTTTCGTTACCACACTGCACATTAGACTCAAGTGCATCTTTGCAGATTCCTCTAGGTGTTTGTCCAAAGAGAATCTGTTACCCTGTAACAGGAAACAATATTGCGTTGTAGCAATGTGGAATGAAGAGTATACCGACACACAGAGAAATGAACCGGTACAACAGAGTTAAAGATCATTTCTCAACGCACCTTGAAACGACAGCCAGCGTCCTTAAAAGAACAGGACAAAAGGTGTGTCGTGCAGTGATCCTTCAAGTGTACCTCCAGATCTTCTCGCGGTAAGACGGCAGTTTCACAGCGATGAGGACAAGCGACTGGATAACGACCACACTTGGCGTGATGGGCACCCAGTGTATCGAAAACGAACTCTTTGTTGCAGTAACGGCAGGCCACCAATCTTTTCGCGCACTCGCCCAACTTGTGCTGGCTAAGGTGCCTTCTCTGCACCTTCATGCCGCATTTGTTCTCGCAATAGAGTGGCTCGTAACCACATGTACCTGTGTGTTTCTGCAAGGAAATAAACAGAAATATTAAAAATTGCTTTTAGACCACAGGTTTCAAGGCAACTTTTACACAGAATTATGCTAATCACATGTTTCAATATACTGATAATGTGACTACTCGAAGTGTGCCTGTGTTTGATGGGAAAATCCACAAGAAACGATTGCAACAATTCGGCATTTAAAAAATGACAGAAATTTCCTTTCATCTACACAGTTCTGCCTCGTTCCGTTCCCAGTTGTACAGTTAATAGCTGGCACTCGATCGTGGTTCTCTAATTAATGCAAGAGCAGTTACCTCGAGCGTGTGACCGGTGAATTCTTTGGCACAGAAGTCGCAGCGAGCTCGTCGCTGACCGCAAGTGTACTTCAAATGGTCCTCCATGAGTACGCGCGGAATCATTGCACCGCATTTATTGCTGCAGGGCACTGCATCGTGCTTGCAGGTATTCAGGTGAGCCTAAACAGAACGGTGCAATTATCGCAATGCAACAGAGTACACGTGTTTCCCTATTTCCAGTAAATACGTGGATCGATGGACAACCAAGGCTCTTTAATTAAGTCCAAAAGATTATTATCTTATAAAAAAAAAAAATGTATAAATTTAGCGCACTTTCTAGCCTTCTTTATGGATTTAAATAGAACATTCTCCACAGAATGTTAGCGATAATTTCTTCGACTACGTTCAGCGGATTAATTAATTATCGTAGGCATCATTTACGGTAAAAATTATTTAATGTTTACGGGCTGGAATCACGATATTCACCTTCAGCTTTCTAAGTTCGTCCGACCACTTGCAGCCGTCCTTTTGATGTATGCAATACACAATGGAACCCATTATTGCCTTTTCTGCTTCAAAGTCCTGGAAATTCTGGAACACACAAAGAAGACGAAGATCTTATCGACTGTCTTTTCCCAGACAAAAGGCGCAAAGCACGCATTCCTAACGCGATAGACTCATCGAAGAGACGTCGATGATTTATATCGTGTATCGTGCAAGGACTTAAATACCGGTATTATACCACTATAGTAATCGATCGGAAAGACGGCGATCAACAGAGAGCCAACAAAATTTCGCGGCTAACGAGGAGTCGACGAACGATTGTCGCCAGGTTTCTCGCGCACAAACGAATCGTTTACCCGCCAACCGGCTAGAACTGGACCTCTTAGAACGTGGGCAGCGATTAATTGGGTAACAGGTAGTCGTTATTACGGAGGTACGCCCGCGACAGAACTCCGGGACGGTCCAACAAACAATTCGTTTGGCATTCCAAGGCATCGCGATGTAATATATGATAATTAATTTTCTGTAATGCCCGTATATCTGGCGAGTATGGCACGAACGTATACCGGGTGGTTCCTCGCGAAAAGAAACATCGTTGCTTCTTTTTAAATTCAACGAGATCAGCTATACTAATGTTAGTTTTTAATTTTACAGTACAACGCGACAGTAATTATAAACTGGTCGACGGATAAAGTTCACTAGGTCTAGTTCGCACGAATCGAACTTTCTCCGGATACGGTGCCTGCATACAAACGGATCGAGAATTCGAAATGATTTTGGAACAATGCAATCGGTTGCGTAATCGTTCGTTGCCGGCTGAAGATTCATTTTTCCTGCAGCAATTCGCACAGTAATATGCTTTCAACGCTTATTTAAATTGAATGGAAGATAGAATCTGATAAGCGTTCCCATAGTTTGTACCGCGTTAATGTTCAATTGCTAATTGAATTTAAGGTAATCGTACGGTCCAAACGATAACACGAACGATGACGAATGCAACGGGGTAATAAAATGGCTGAAAAACAAATATAGAACTGAACGATGAAAGGCGCGGTGGGTGAGTGTTCTCTAATAAATCTAAATCTGTCTTGTGGAAGACTTTTCCCGAGGAGGGGAGGGGGAGGCTTGCATGAAGACCTCGTCGGACATTCCGATCCTTTTAGAATTTTCATGCCGCGTTGCTGTTTCCAGGAAGAACGCGTGACGGCCACGGAGTCGTGACGGTTTTCGGAAATAGCGAGTTCAATAATAACCCCGATGCAGGAGGTGCCCCGTACTGAGAAACCATGCGGGAGGCGAAAACGGGAATAAATTTAACGCGTCACGTCGTGCTTGGAAATCATTATTGCTGCTATTAATGCGCCTGTGACAGATCAGTATATTGCTACTCGGGCGGAATAATAACAATAAATTGCCTCCGAATGATAAATAAATTGCTCCTCTAAAAATGAGAAATCCTCAAAGTACTGTGTCAGGAAGTGCAAGGCACTGGGGCGTTTCAATTACAAAAAATGAAAGTGTAAATAACGTTACAGTGGCGTGATATGCAACCGAAGCGAAGTTAAACGCTACGAATGGGCACAATCTTTTGTAAATAAATCGTAGTGGATAGGGTTAAGGTATTATCCGTGGAATTATTTTCGCTTCTGGCGATAGAGTCATTCGAGTAGGCGAGCCTCTATTGTGAACAGCGTGTACAACTAAATACTCGGTAGAAATATCGCTCCATTAACCCTCGAATGATAGGGCGTGGTCAAACGACCACTTCAAACCCCCCTAACTGATTGATTATGGTAACTGCGCGGAACTGCACATTCGGCCAAACTGGCTGAGAAATTCTAGTTATCAGACCAACAATGACGATTGTCCACCAAATTCTGATAGATCTTTCGTCATTTTCTCTGCTGGAATGTCTGCAACGATTTCTAGTTAGGTCGAATAATTGGTCCGAGAAGAGCAAGTTCTTAGCGTGCTCGTAGGATCGAGGACGAGGAAAAGAGACAGTAGGTAATATCAGATAAAAATATTGATTCTTTCTCTACGCTTTTTAACAACATTCAATCGTTAAGATAGTCGCGACGAAGTTGAATTTACTACAAAAAATGGAAGCAAGACAGTTACATGATAATAAAAATAATAAACTGTCGTATGTAATCCGACCAACTTCGCCTAAAAATAAATATAAATAGTCGTGGAACGTTGAAAAAAAAAAGTTCAAAGCGCCGCGCGGTCGCGAGGCGTGCAAACGAGTCTCCACTTTGTGTCGATTGTTCCTTTCGCGCAGGTTCACCCGGTATACACGGAGACGTCTGGTGGTGCGAGTTGAAACCTGCACGACCGGCAAGGTCGAGGAACCTAACGCAACCAGCCGCTGCCGGCGAGATATAAACACCGCCGGGAATGGAAGAGACAGACCTACCTCTTCAGTTTCGAGATTGCGAAGAAGAAGAGGAGGACAAAAAAACAAGAGAAAAATAAGAACACCGGCCGCGCCACGACGCACGGGAATAAAAAATACACTTGCACTGGCCGCAATCGAGCCACGATCCCACTTGACTCTCCCGAGTTCCTCGTTTCATCGACTTTTTCTGCGAAAATGAAGACGCGCGCGGAAGCGTGACACTTACATCGTGTTTCGATATCGAGGCGTTGCACGGATTTCATAAGTCCACGCTAAATCTACCAAGAGGAAAACGACACCTTCTAAACCGTTGAGCACCACTGTTCTAACCTCTTAAAAACAAAGTTGCAAGCGTTGTCGCACCCTTGTCGTTTCGTGAGAGAAAATCTTACTTTCAAGGCGGAGGAACAGTCCGACGCCATTCTTCTATTCGTCGTTGCGAGATGAAAGATGATATAAATTGTTCGCTCTCTTAATTACTTAGCAATGAACTTCGCGGATAACGTATAATTAGCGTAATAACGATAGCGTTGCGCGCATCCATGAATCCGCGAAGCATGTGCCGTGAGTTCAAACGGACGCCCGGGACAATTGAAAGAAACACACGGGCCACGAATTAATTAAAACAAAGAGCGTCCAATTAAGCCGGTCGGGGCAACGATCCCGTCTTGCGCAAGTTCCGTAATACCGTCGAAACGAGACTGTGCTTTCTCTCTCTGGAGGCTAGAACTGCTATAACCAACGGAAAATCATATTACCGAAAGCATGGTTACGTAAGTTCGAAAGTTCGACGATGCTCGTCGAGAGATCAAAGATCGGTGCAATAGTTCGATTTCGCGTTTACGAACTACTGGTTACCTTTTATCGTGGAAACGTATGAAACGAACTCTACATTCTCTCCGTTATGCGATTCGAAACTTGAATTTTCATAAGGGAAACGAAACACATTAATTGTAAACGTTTTATTATTATTATTCCCATAGCGTTTCGGGCAATACGAAATAACGTAGGTTCGCGAACGAGCGTGACACGAGCGATCATATTTCACGGTATCCTTTTTCTGAGGCAGCTGTGTGTAAGTACTTGGCTGGGTTCGCCGAATTAGAATACCGACATCGAGCATCGCGAAGAGGCTGACATCACACACGTTGGCTCTCCGGTGCTGTTACAGCGGTTACAAGTCGCCGTGACGTCACGGCAAAATAACGGACACGATCTTTGCGTACGTTCCACTTATGCTCGAGGACGATGATGATCTCCGCGCTATGCGGTGTCACTTGAAATCTCGAAACCTAGGCTGTCGCACGAAAACTCGAAAGGAAATGGGAACAGTGATTCTAAACCAGTCCGAGCGAGTGCTCGACCAGAAACAATGAAACAAAATAACTTCGACCCGAGACTTTCGAGGTTACGGACGTTTGTAACAAACATGACGTCGATTAGCATTTTGATGCTTTATTAACATCACATTTTTCGTAAGCTGCGTGCAACAACGTGGCTTAACTCGAACTTCTATACCTCCTGCGATATAGGAATTCGTCGCATGAAATATTTAAATAATACACATCCCGTTCGTCTTTTTTATTTCGTTATTTGAGACCATCTTTTCCAACGTATTCGACCACCCGTTGTGGAGGCACATTGTTCGTTCGAAAAAATGTCGAGGGAACGATCAGCCGGGAATTCACAGTATTTTAATGAAACGGAAAGCAGTTTGACGGGCGAATCAAATATTCGAAAAATTCTCCGCCGACATTAGCGATGCACGAACGTGACGGTTACACGCTCGAATCTCCAACGGACGAATTTTTGTCGTTCAAATTAGAACCGCGCAACCTTGACCAGTCGATGGTCAACAATTACCATACATCGTACCTCCAAACGTTCTCGCAAAGAAATTTCTCAAGCGGGAGGCCGAACTTGCGCGCTAAATTTAACTTCAGGGAAACAAAAGAAAATGGCGGGAGGAAGAAACTAAATCGTCCATTTTCTTTTTTCGTCGACGTTCGTTGCAACTTTAAATATATGCACACCTTTTGATTACGAGGTATTATCTCCTTCGTGACTGCGGAACGTACAAGAACGATCAGAAATTACGGTTTCTTTCGTCGATCTCCAAGTTTTTCCGTTGCAGTTACGTTGTTCAGAGGTTGATCGCGATCCGCGTCGAGAAAGGCAGGATGATCGCGTGCGAAAGGAAAACTCTTCCTGTCGGTTACACGCGCGCATAGTCCTTGCGGACGGGGTTCGCTCGGAGAACGGGAAGACTTCGAATCCCATAAATTACTCGTCGTGGGACGCCATTGAGCGATTTCCAGGTAATCCACCCGTGACCCGTGAATTTCACACGAAACCACATTCTTTTCGTCGATCGTAATTCGCGTAAAATCGAAATAAAATTATGTAAAAACGGTGGCATTACAGCGACAACTTGTCCCCCCTTAACGTGGAAACATTTTTTATTATTAATCGTTCAAAAATAGCGCTGGGTAACAATGGCGGTAGAAGGTTGAAAGGAATCATTTTTTACCTTTTCAGAGGACGTTGTTGGGAAACTTAGGGACATTCTTTTTCATTCCACCGAAGGTAAAGGTTACAGGCGTGGGACTCGAAGGTTTCAGAGTTCACGACGAAGGAACTAGAATGTCACTCGTCGTTTTTTAATTTCGAGCGGTACGTTCGATCC